CGTGGTTCGGGCAGTGGATCTGGCGCAGGACGTGGTGCCGGAGCCGGTAGCGGCTCAGGAAGTGGAGCTGGTGCCGGCAGTGGATCAGGTCGTGGTTCGGGTAGCGGAGCGGGCGCAGGGTCTGGTAGGGGCTCAGGATCCGGTGTCGGTATAGGCCGAAGTACTCGATCCAGTTGGAGCCATACTTTAGGTGCTCTTCTATTTACAATTATTAAATTTCGATTATATTATTTTTCAATAATCTTGAACATTCTATAAAACCCAACTTTTTACATTTTTTCAGGTCCAAGAAGCAGTTTATGGATTGCTGTCATGAATGAAGGTGTCTGCACTTGTCTTGCACGACTCCCTAGAGATTAGTTTGCCACCTAAAAAATGGCTCATAGATTTCACTAAGTAGTCGAAAACGATATCATATTTTTTTTGAAGATTCATTATAGAATATCCATGAGCACAATTAAATCACGATATGATACTATTTAATATTAGGAAAAACACATGCTGCACTATACAAAAATCACTCAATGCACTTGTTTTGTACGTATTACATCGAACAGTAATGGCACTAAATAAATTTATTTATGCACTGCATGAACTGAAATTCTGTGACAATCTTCATCATTTGCCCACCCGAAAAATTTAAACTTCCCGGGAATACCAGCATGCTCGATCATTGAAAAAGGCAATTGACTAAAGTAGAGGTTTGAGGTTCTACAGTTATCTACAGTAGCGTAGCGCGCTCCCTTTCTTGGGATGCAGTACTACGATGCCGTTGGGGTTAGTCAAACCCCCAGAACTGAGCCTTTACTTTAGTCAATCCTCGTTGGCTCTCACAATTGTAAATGAGAGAATAACAATAAAAGTATGGAATCCGAGGACGACAACCGTGAATTTTACTTCGAGTCCGATCATCTCGCATTAAAAGGCAACAAAGACTACATGTCATTGTTGCAAACAATTGTGATGTTGGAGGCTCAAAGGGCCCAGGCAATTCGCGACCTGGACACATTGCTCTCGTACCGAGCAAAAGCAATGCAAGACCCGATATCGTTCGTTTCAGAGTTGCAAAATGGTAATCTCCCGGAATTACCAGGGCGTCATAAAATTCCAGATATTCCATACATAGATTGGAGTGCGTATAATATCACTGGGCCAGACTCTCGAATAAAACCACAAACAAGACATGGAAATGTTATTCCACAGCTGCAAGTTAAGCCGGAGCCAGACGATGGAAAGGTAAATATAATTCAAAAAATATAAAGACAAGAATAAGATTTCCCCTTTACCTGTTTCTTGTTGTAATCGAATTTTTAAGATTCTCGTTCGTGGTCGAGCATTCGATGAGAGTAAACCTGAGACTTTTAATCAATTGTGGACTGCTGAAGAGCAGCGTCGACTGGAGGAATTATTAGTGGAATATCCTCCGGAGGAGGTCGAGATGAAGAGATGGACTAAAATAGCAAACGCCTTGGGTAATCGAACACCTAAACAAGTTTCCAGTCGAGTGCAGAAATATTTCATAAAGCTTCTGAAAGCTGGCCTGCCGATTCCAGGGCGAGGGCCGAAGGTTAAGACTGATTTTAAAAAAGGTGTTCATCATCGCAATCTCAAAGGATTATTTAGAAGATCGACATTCTTCCCCCATCAGGACAATGATTATGAAGAGAGAGAGGAGACGAGATCCCATCCCTCGATCACAACAGAAGATTCGGTAGCTGCAACACATTCAATTAATTCATTCATTTATAAACTATATTTTATTCTCGCAATTAAATGGAGATATTATAAATAATTTTACAGGAGGATGATGCATGTGCCAGTACCAGTGCAGAAGAAACGTCAGATTTACGACAAATTCAACTGCTCAAAAGAATAAAAGCAGAAAAGGAGGAGCAAGGGCCACTGTATCAACACTTCGGTTATAAGTGCTCGATCTGCAACGAGGAGCCTTTGAAGGGGACTCGTTGGCACTGCACCGAGTGCCCTGACGTTGACCTCTGTGGAGACTGTGCTGTAGCCCAGATGGAAGCTGTCAATCCCATCCACACTCCCATGCACAGACTCGCGGATATTCGTCCACCAGAATGCTCCAGGAGTTATGACACAGATTATTACCCTCAGAATTTCGACGACTCCTCTTCCTATAATTATCTCGATCCGAATTTCTTACCAGGATAATGTCAATGTATCGATGATTTATTCAGCTCAAAAATATTTTCCAATGTCACGAGAATTGGTTTAAAAACCGGTGTTTGAATTCTTTAAACTTCCCGTTTTTTATATTCTCTCGAATCGCCTTGAAGAACTCCAGATATACGTGTGTGTTGTGGATCATAAGGAGAACAGAGCAGAGAAGTTCTTTGGTATTGTGGAGATGATTGAGGTACGCCCTGGAGTGATTTCGACAGGTCAAGCACTGGCACTCGTTGCATATAGGGGAGAAATCATCCACGTAGCATTTATCTGCCACGGAAATGGCCAATTCAGTTTTGTAATCGTCTCCATGGTTGTGCGAGTCACACATGAATGTGAGTGCCTTGAAATTTTCAGTCATCACGTAAGGGTATGACGAATCGAAAACATCCACTCCAGAATCGATGAGCTCCAGAATCACATGGGGACTCCAGGAGCCCATGGACACCTTCAATTTCTCAGGGGGGAGTAAAGCCAATGTGTGTTGCACAACTTCCTTGATTGTCTCAAACGAAATGTTCTGGACTTCGGGTCCATTGACGTGAAGCCCGTCGATGACGTACCCCTCAAGATTTTTCTCCCTCAGAAAATTAGCCGATACTTCACGAGCCCTCAAATCATATCCTCCCTCAACTGCCCCCAGGAGGCAAGTCTTCTTCAGAATTTCTGAACTCTTGTGTCTCTCCAGACATTTTTCGAACTGTCGTTTACTCCTGTCTACGACTTTCATTATTTTTTTCTCATTCGTTTTCTCGTTGCTATCCCCATCGCATAGGCCTACGTAGATATCAGGTTTGAATGCCTCTACAATATCCATGTAAATGTCTGGAGATACGGGGTGATGTCCATGCTTCGTCCAGATCGCTGTTGTAATATGTTTCTGGTGTCCATGAGGAGACACCTCGGAGGAGTCCTGAATTGTCAATATTGTCGGGTATTCCTGGGAAAATTATTGAACAATTCGAACAATCGGTATTACTGTCAATCCCTGTTGATTACACACTTACTTTCATACCAACGAACTCACTGAACGAGTCAGATTGTTTAACAGCTTCAACCATTGTTAATGTCGTTGGTAAACTAACAGACAACATGTGCTGCTCGTCTGTCAACATTTTAAAGACATCTTTCGTCAGGTGCGGTACACTCCCTCTCTACAATTATAATTTTATATTAGGAAATTGTACATTTTTTCACTAAAAAATGTCGAAAAAATAAATGAACTATACCCTTGTATACAGCACGAGCAGAGGTGTCTCGAAAATAGCCTCTGGAAATTTTTCCAACTCCGAGAGACTTCCCAGTCTTGCACAACGACTCACAGAATCGGTAATGAACTTCATCGTTTGTTTATGAATTAAATAATTGCTATTACAATCATTTAATTTGGAGTCATCCAGATTTATGGAATAACATGTGGCTTTGCTTTCGCATTGTTTATTACGGATTCACAAGTTGCGATGGATTTAAACAACTTCCGGTTCCGATTTATGAACATTTATAAATTTCCTCGCGGAAAATTCGAATTGTCATTTTTTCTCAGTTATGAATATTTTTCATTTGAAAATGGAATATTTTAGATGGAGCTGGTCAAGGGGACATTGCAGGTGGAGGTATTTTATTGTTTAATTAATTAGAATAATTTATTTTGAAGGGGGGAAATGTTATGGGGTGAATGGTGAAGGTGGAGGGGAATAGAATAGTTTTTTCTTTTGGCAACTCCTGGAATTTTGGAGCAAATGGAGTGAAGGTTGGGGTGCATTTGATGGGGACGTGGACGCAGCTGTATGAACATGAAAATCCGTAAGTGTTGACATTCAACATGGCGGCATGTCGTCAGTGCTGTGCTGTGTCGTGGTAAGTTTAATAAACCCTTTTATAATAATCTGGCTGCGAGTTTTGTACACGAATAATCCATCCCGAATTAGCATAAAACTCGTTGAATCCCTCGAGCGAATAAAAAGGATTTTCCCTGGAGTAGGAGTGACAGAAAATCCGAATCGTGTCACGGAAAAAAAATGTAGAATAAACTAAAACTGCCGACTGCTGATGAACTCAATGTATAGTACATATGTACCACTACATGTAGATGACAAATGGGCGAAAAAACAGGGAATTATAACGGTTGATTATTTATTGTTGACTAAAATCCGCGGAATTTCTGTACATATGCTGGGGGATTGGTCTCTGGGGTGTGATTATTTAAGTTCGGATTGATATCGGGGTATGGGAAATTAATCATTGGCATTCACGCACGTCTAGTTTACGAATGTGTCAGTGAAGAAGCGGAAGAAACCTGACAAAAACCAGAGTAACATCATAACCTACCCTCTATCGCTTTCTTTTTGTCCTCAATAATTCAATGAAAACAACTCGCAGTCATATGCCTACTGATAAATCCCATCATCTCGATAATTTTCATAAACAAATACTGTGTTCTTTTATTTTCAGCTTGTGTAATTGTTAGTTTAGGACAATTTTTGAAACCAACGCTCACTGTAAATTCCACATTAAAGAAAAAGCTGAAGAACAAAAAGAAACGCAAAAAATATTATAACGACTATTAAAAAAACAAAGTTTATCGTAACGACACAACCACACTCAGCACGCATTGAAGACATCTGAGGATTTTCATGCCAACAATTATCCTCTAACAATAAATTCAAGATAACATTCAAAAAAAAAATTTACAAACTGTTTTTTTTTTCGTTTGAAATTCTTTTTTACATGAATGAGAAAGAAATAATAATCAACGGAGTATGACTAATGTGGAAGTTAATACGAAGATAATAGTTTTCCTCGAGGAGCCTGTATTGATGGATCAACTGTCGAGAAATAACGAAGTAAAATAAATTTTTAATTGAAAATCAAGTAAACGCGTAACTGTGTGTCCAACTCAAGTGAACTGTGCTATAATTTTTCCATTCGTTAAATTGAGTATTAAAGAAACTAAAACATAACAGTTTACATTAATTTGTTCGTTTGTATGTACGTTGGTTCGTTGAGCCAACATAATTTGAATAAAAAAATTTAAAAAAGTGGCGGGATCGGGTAAAATCAGTGATTGTAATTATGGCTGATGCTATACTGCTCTTCATCACTTAATGAGAAGGGAAAAATTCAATTAACTATTCAATCCAAAGGACACTCCAATTATTACAAACGAGTGCCAAATATTTTGTTTCTGTGTCAAACCGACAACCACAAAGGAGGAGAGAATAAAATCCCCCAAACGGCCCCCCTCGAAGTCCCTCGTTCATCAATAAATAAAAAAAATCAAGTTCTTGTAACGTCCTAATAATTGAATTCAAAAGGAGAAGGTGAAAAATTAAAAAGCAGAATAAAAAGCAGAAAGAAGTTTAAAAAAAAAAGGGAAACGAACGATTTAAGGTACCAAGAACCATTCTGTGATATCTATGTTAACACTTAAATACTATTGAAAAGACTAAAAAATTTCTAATTATAAGTAAAACAAAAAAAAGAAGGAAATATATTGTGCGATCAAGTGCACGCGATAGGCAGGAGACGGGAGCGAGCCTGCCTTCGCCAAAGAGATAGAGAAAACTACGAAAAAGGGATAAAAAAAAAATTAATAAAAAGAAAAAAAGATAAATAATAAACTAATAAAGAAGAATTGAAAGATAGGAGTGGAAAATTTTAATTGAAGAATTGAATAAAAATGTCGAACAATCCTCAGTGGAAGAGTTTCCAGCCGCCAATCATGAACTCTGACCCAGCTATTCTCGACTATAAGTCAATGTCAATACCGACCAAGAGCATTGTCGGTGGTACTCAGTCAACAAACAGTCATTACCGCAATGGTACGAGTTATGGTGGTGATGTCCATGGCTACATGGGCTCACCACCAGACAGTGGAAAAATATCGTACACCTCTTATGCACCATCAATGTCACCACGCAATGGTACAAGCAGTACCAGATACCCAAATCGTCCCCTCGGTATGGAAAATAATACGCAATACACACCAGAAACAGTCACCAATAATTCATCTTATCAAGATCAGTCTGCTAACCAGGGGCCACGTGAAGCCGGTATCATCGAAAAATTACTGGTAATGTATCTGTTTAATCCGTGATATAATTCATGTCGTGATAAGGGAGTGGAGTATTTTACTGAAGGCATTGGTTTCTTTCACAGCATTCTTACGGATTTATCCAGTGCTGCGAGAGACAGGCACGATTGTTTTTCCACTTTAGCCAATTCAGTGGTACAATCGAGCACCTCAAAATAGGTGATCCCGTTGAGTTTGAGATGACGTACGATCGTAGAACTGGAAAGCCAATAGCAAGTATCGTTAATAAAATAGCACCTGAAGTTGTGCTAAGTGAGGAGAGAGTCACTGGTAATGTAACAACTGAATTGCCAGCTAGTGGTGATTCTCAGGGACGAATTAGCTATGAGAATCGTGGAGAATGTTTCTTTCTCCCATATACCAAAGACGATGTCGAGGGAAATGTTACTTTACGAGCTGGTGATAAAGTATCCTTTCAAATAGCGACTAATCAACGGGGAAATTTGGGTGCATGTCACGTGCGATCTGAGAATCCAGCCCATCCAGTTCGTTATCGTGGTGTTGTATGCTCGATGAAAGAGAGCTTTGGATTTATCGAGCGGGCTGATGTCGTTAAAGAGATATTTTTTCACTTCAGTGAAGCTAAAACAGTTAAAGAGGAGTTGAAATTGGGTGATGACGTTGAATTTATCATTCAAACACGCAATGGAAAAGAAGTTGCGTGCAATATAACGAAATTACCACCGGGTTCGATAGTATTTGAGGAAGTTAATAATGAAATAATGAAGGGACAAGTGTTGAAGCCACTGGAGAGGGGAAATGCTGCACGTCATCAGAACGATCCACTGCCTGGTCGTATACGCTATAGAGCGCCAGATTATTCCGAAGTTGAAGTGCCATTTGGGGATAAGGATCAGAAGGGCGATTTTACTCTCAAGTAATTGATTTATTTTCTATCTTTAATCTTGGGGTGGATGATTGGGCTTTAATATTTGTGAATGGTCTTATTCAGGCACGGCGATTGGGTGCAATTCTTAATAGCTACTGATACCAGGGATCAATTGAAAAGGGCCACTGAAATATCACTATTGCCAGAATCATTCGCTGTCTCCGGGGAGAGACGTGAGCAGGGGGTTATTGCAGCTCTCAAGGATGGATTTGGCTTTATTAGATGCGTCGACCGAGATACCAGACTTTTTTTCCATTTCAATGAAGTACTTGACATTGATCGAGAAATAAGTGTCGGGGATGAGGTGGAGTTTACGGTCATTCAAGTGGGACTCTGTGTCAGTAAATTATATTTTTTGAGTTATTATTTGGGGATTTAGGGGCTCTCGGAGGAATTCAATGGTTTATTATTTACAGGATGCACCGACATTCTTCGGTAATATGCGTCACAGTGCCATCAGGCTCAAACACTTGCCTCCTGGTACTGTTCAGTTTGAGACTGTTACTGAGAGCGATGTACTTGGGAGCATCATTCAAGATGTCAATGGCATGGAGCCTGGATTAATCGGGTACGCTGATAAAGATGGCACGCAAAAGAGCATTATTTTCTTTGCCAAGGATTGCGATCCTAAGAGTGTCCCTAAATTGAATGAAAAGGTAGAAATTTAAAGAGAAATTAATGTCAATTTCACAATAAACAATAGATTCATGAATTTTCACTTGATCAATTGCCAGGTTAAATTCAGTATCTGTCAGGTGAAGAGAAATAAGGAATTGGTGGCAGTCGATATCTCGCTGCTGAATCCGCCTGTTGAAAAACCACAGAATGGAAGTGACAAATCGGTGGGTCAAATTTATCAGGGTTTTATTGCAGCTCTCAAAGATGGTTTTGGCTTCATTGAGACTGTTAATCATGAGAAAGAAATATTTTTTCACTTTAGGTGAGTCAAATTCGCGATGAAAGAGGAGATGATTGAAACTTGAGCAATAATGAGAATAATTTTTCCTCGTTGTAGCACTTTTGATGGTGATGCGGGCAATTTAGAGCTTGGAGCTGAAATAGAGTGTACAGTGAATACAGGAAATGGTCGAAGTACTGGTGGATGTATAGCAGCTGAATCAGTGCGTGCTGTTGCTCGTGGAACAATACCACGTGCTGCAGCTGTCAGTGAAGTGATCGAAGGAATTGTTGTGAGGCCTCTTCGCAGTGCGAATCCTGATCAGCAGGAGTACGCTGGCCTGATTAAATTACAATCGATCAATGACGATGACAACGCACCTGAATACGAATTTGGAATAATGGGATTGTTGAACAAACGTGAATTGCTGCAGATCAACGATCCTGTGCAGTTTCAAATCGACGCGGAGGGCCATGCTTGCAATATCGTTGCTGTTAGAAAGAAGAGAATTGCAACTGTTGACGCCATTAAGGCAGCCTTTGGCTTTCTTGCATACGAGGTTGACGAGGGAAAGAAACTTTTCTTTCATATGACTGAAGTTAAGGATAATGCAACACTACAGCCTGGTGATAGAGTTGAATTCGTTCTTGTTACTAATCAGAGGAATGGAAAATCATCGGCTTGTAATGTGACACGACTGAGGTGTGTGTTGATATTTTTGTGGAAGAAATCCTAACAGTTGCATTCCCTTAAATGCCATTTGTTATTAAAATTTTTACAGTGGGGAATCTGTACAACAACGACCTGAACGCCTGATCAGCCGACTTCGCACTGTTTCCCTGGAAGATGCAGGCCCCAAATTGACTGTTATCAGGCAGCCCAAAGGTCCAGACGGCACACGTGGATTCACTCAAGAACGCGCCCAACGTTTTGCTGGATGCATCGAGGAATAGAGGAAGTGAGACTCAACATCAATGATTGAAATGGAGGCTATCCCATCCGTCGTTGAAGTAATTATTATTTTTAGTCCACGTTGATGCCGAGATTAAGATTGTAAACGTTTGCCAAATCAAGACTTATTGTTTAAATCGAAATCGGGACGAGTAGGGAAACGTTAGACAGTGCGTTAGTAAATGGCGAATTGGGTATTTGATATTTGTCAACGAGAACAACGAGCCATACTTTAATAAATCCGCGATAACGGCACACTTTTACATCATGATGAATAAGAAAATAATGTGTTATTTATTTAGAAGCGCGTTTTCTCGACAGACTTTTCATTTTATTAATTTCCGTCAACCTGAGATCGAAGAAACGGCGCCTTCCATCGAATTGTTTTTCTCTCATTAGTTAATTGTACAATTATTATCGATTGATTTACATGTATCCATCCATTAATTTTTTTTTCTTCGGTTTATCACGTAAATAACAATCTTTTTTTATTAGCGGAAGGAAAATTGTGGTAAATTAAGTTAACGTAAAGTGAAGAGATAAATGCGTGACAAACAAATAATGAACAAAACCCCGCGGCTCTCTAACAACCCATTGAGGTGCCGGATCACAAAAATTTCAACATTGCCTGAGCGAAAATTTGAGAAAATATGTACATGAGAATGAAAAACAAACGGATCATTTTACTGTTATCTGAGCAAATGTGGATGAAAGTGCGTATGAATGCGCGTGTGTATGTGATAATACAGAGGGAAAATCAAGTACGAGAGAAATGAAAATATTCCCGTAAATTTGCAGCGTGACGCCGGATAGTGGAGAACAAATGTAAACAATACGTATCACAAATAAATTTCAAACTAAATGCGCGTATTACACCGCATTGCCTGTTTATCAAGATGATTCGAAAAAAAAAATGTGTAAAACGAAAGAAGTAATTGAATTAAAATGAAAATTAAAACCATTGAAGAACAAGTGAAAACTGGCCACCAGTTTGTTCTAGATAATATATTATATATGAATATATAAATACGTTGTTAAGTTCCTCATGCAGTCACGTGTTAAAAAAAAAACGAGTGAATCAAATTAGTATAATGAATTCAAGTTGAAAACCAGAAGAAAAATATAATAGCGGGAAGAGAGGAAGTGATACCCGTAAAAATTACCGGGAAATTAATGGAAAAATCATAATGGCAATTTTCTAATATGTTTGCCGTTTACGTTTTTAGTAAACAAAATATGGAAACAATAATGAAACGACAGAGGTAAGCATGGCATTAATTGTAATAGTGTGATAGTGAGGGGGAGGGGTAATCACACTTGATTAATTGAGGCGTTCGCGGATACCAAGTGTGCTTGCATCGGAGCCCATTCGATGAAACCATAACGAGAAAAGAAACCAAAAAAAAACGAGAAAAAAAAACGCTGTAAAATTATTGATGAATAAACCTTGCAAGCAATAATAAAATCTCTCAATCGTTTCTCTCAATGATTAAGATATCGTTTAATTTCATTTATTGTTTTATGTACAGTATCAGTGGGAAAAAATTCATTCTTTCTGATAATAACGAAGTAAGTGGAGTTGAGAAAAAAAAAACATGCAGAGTAGATTTATTCGAGTTGATTCTATGGAATTCAGATAACGACGCACTCGTATGGGAATGGTCCACGGAATTTCAGACCATTTGGTCCAGGACACGCTGTGAATAGAAATTGTTTATCATTAAATATTGACACAGAAATTGAAGAAATCCGAGAAAATCATCCGCCGGAGAATTTTATTGGAGTTTGATTTATTTTCCAATAGATATTCCCGTAGGATTTTTGCATCGGTGGCAATAGAAAATTGATGATTACGTCTTTCACAGCGTGCGCCGTAATATCCAGTGCCCTCGCATTGACACTTGTACCCTGGCTCTTGAGAAATTTGAAGACACGAGCCGTCATGAAGACAGGGCCGCTGACGACTGCAAATATCGTGACGGCGACCTAAAGTTGAGATAAAATGATTGATTAAATCGATCATCGATCGATTATTTGAAATTGTTACCTTTTAGGGCCATTTTACAGGACTCATTCGAGTCGTATCTGTACTCTGCCTTGCAGCCGTACCCGCAGCTGCATTGATTATTAAAAATCCTACACCCATGTCTCATCTGATCGAGATCACAGCCCTCCACGAGCACTCCTGATTAAAATTCAGTATCGATTATCATCGAATTTATCATCGGGCAGGGGGTGATTGCATACCAAGAATCACCGGATGCACTCGACAACTACTTCCCACTCATTAAATATATATAGCGCGCACAGATAAGGATTTAAGTACCCCTGGGGTACTTCATCCAGCATCTAGAGCACTCATTTTATTTATTATTTATAAAAATATGGGAAAGCTGTCGCGCGCATTACGAATAATCGGAGAAATTTCCCGCGAGAGAAATTTAAATAATTGCAGAAAGAAATTCAAAGTGAGAGAACTTACCCATTGCGATGATGAGGATAATGCACAGTAAGAACTTTCCCATGATTATCTCTTCTTTTTGGTAATTTTTAACTGGAAAATTTGATTTTTTCTCCGGCGAACGGTCGATCGGTGTTACAGAAATGCCCGCGTGCACTTGAAATTTTAGCGATGGGCCTTTCACGAGATTTTCACGACACGATTTGTGTGACTATGAGGGAATGAATGAGCGAATGAAGACGAGCGCGTGGGGTAGCTTGTATGTTGAAAGAGTCAGCTGTGACGAACTAAAATACAAAAGAAACCTCTGTGGTCTGGGATTCGTGCATGTGCGCGGGGCTTCAAGCCATTGCACTTGCGGCTCCGCCTCTTTTTTTTTTTCTCTTTCTTCCTGTCGTGGTATTTTAAATCAACTCCAGACTCTCTTATTTTATTCATTTTTTGTCTCTGAGATGTCGAGAAAATTGGATTTCTCGTTTTTCAAATTTATTTGACCATCGGGGGAGGGGGAGGAGACGTGAAGGGGACATTGTTTAAAATTGATACCACGAGTACATGGTGAAACGATTTCTGAACGCGTGGGGACAGAGGAAGTTGGATCTTATCAGAGTTGAACTGGTCACAGTAGATATGAGAGAAGACGGGGTATCTATGTGTGTCCATACATTTCTAACGTTTTTCCCTTCTCGGGTGATAATGGAGAAATACTAAGTAATGAAACCAACGGCATGGCCAGTTGATAACAAATTAATTCAGCTAACGAAACACGAGCCGCGATAATGTACCACTATTTCTTGTAATCCACATTCGAAAATAATTCTATTCTGCATTTTACACTCTCTTTATTAGTTCAATAATTTATAATCAACGAAGACAGTAAAAATGATTTAGTTACAATATTTAATGAGTTATTGGACGGATTATAAAGCCAGAGGACTTATAATAACCGATTTTACCCTGTGTCTTACCAGTCGATTACTTGGAATGCTAATTGTTGTGGAATAATCTGGATGAGTCATTTGTCATGGCTTCCTAGATTCTGAAAATATTAATATATAATGTCAAAGTATGATTGAAGTGTGGAACAAGTAAATAGATACCTTACATGAACGTCTGATCGTGCTGCTCGTGGATCATCGTCGATCGACGAGACTGAATCAATCCTGATTGACGACTGTACAACTCCCGCATTAAATTCTCCTTCTCCTGCTCGAGGAGAACTATTTTGTGCCCCTTCTTACTCACTTCCTGCAATACGTCGTTATCAATTCTATTATTAGTACAGATTGTGGATAGAAAAATTGAAAAATGGGATAAATTACTTCGGTTAATCTACGATTCTGCTGCTTCAAGCGTGCCATCATGTCTTGACTTAATTGGGTTGAGCTTGGAGTGCTGAGGAAGGCGAGGTTCATGTGCATTGGCAGTCCACCACGTTCCCAACTCGTTATCAGAGCTGCCAAGTGTCGATTTACTTCCAGAACACGAGCTCTCTGCAACTCCAGGCGCTCCTGCTGGGCCTCTGTCCACTGCTCCTGTTGGGAGAATTTATTTATTTCTGGGAAATTGAGGGAAAAAAATCATTATAAAGTACCACGTGGGATCCCATGTTTCCTAGGTGCCTGATTTTCTCCTGAGTCACTGAAATCTGCTTCAAATACCACTCCCTCGCCTTGTCGACTGCTGCAAGACCTTGCAGGAGAACATCTCTCTCTTGTTCGATTTGTTTCATTCTCTTCACCTGAGTTATTAAATTCCGTAAGAAACATTCAATAAAATAACAGACTTATTATCAATTACCAAATTATAATCGATGCCATTCTGCAGAGTGTGTCTCCTAGGCTCTCTCCTGCGTACTGTATTTTTTTTCAAAGGAATGCCAATCTCATTATTCAATATCTCTCCAGCCTTTCCATCTCCAAGAATCCTCTGAGGCCTCAACGAGCTCAAGCTCCTAGAATCTACAGCATAATTACTAGCATTTGGCACCATTTGTCTAGGTTTATCAATGCACTTGTCACCATCACTCATCATCAGTCCCATCTGCCAATTCTGAAGAGCAGTTCTGATTTCTGATTTATCGAAATTGGCAGCTCCAGTCCTTGGGGGTTTAGGTGGTCCAAATGGCTTTATCACTTTCACCTCCTGATTGCTCCTAGCATCGATACTCTCTAATGGAATTTGATTGCTATTCGTTGGATTATCGTTGGCTCCGTAATGGTGATGATGATTGTGATAATGATAAGAATTATTAGGCGGTTCTTTTTTCCCTGGGATTAATTGAGGCATGCTCAGTGTTCTCTGCTGTGAAATGGCATTGGCGTTGTTGGGACGTATGGCAGCTGTATTGGGGGATGTCCAGGTGGTCTTGGTTTGGCCATCTCCTGTCAAAAATGGAGCTGATGGGGGCCTGTTTGGCTGGACACTCTCCCGGGGTTTCTCCTTCATATCGCTCTCATTTTTTATTTGCAAAAGGCACATCTTCAGTCCAGCGCAGAATCTGTCGAAGGACAGCAGACCGTTGGGTGGTGTTATCTTCTTCAAACTCTCGAGGACACCCCTTGGCAAACCCTGGGTACCATCGTCCTGCCAACGCTCCTCAATGTCCGAGTACTTGACGTAACCCGAATTCTGGTCATCCATTATTCGGAAGAGTGTTCTCATTGCTGATAAGAAACTCTTTGGGAGATCATCGGTGGAGGATTGGAGTTGTGCCATGGTGTTTATTAATTCCCGGAATATTGGTTACGATTTTTTGGACTGTCTTGATGATGATGTTGTTTTTATCATTGCGATGAGCCTCAGGTACGTGCAAGCGTGGACGTGACAGCTGCTACATGCGCTGAATGATAAATAATCGATGGGTAATGGATCAATTGTTCTCTAACAGTATCAACCTCACCACACTGACACTTGACATTCTTGCGTCAATTCTCACTCGACACTCTGACAGCGTACGCGTCAACCAAAAACCGCGCCAAATTCAAACCTCCAAAATAGTTAAATAAAATTTCATAGAAATTGACGAGCGACAAAAAGGCCCTTTTGTATTTCAAATCACTTGTTCTATTTTTACCAAATAGATAGATATTTGTAAAATAATTAATTCGATTTATTCACGGGTTTTTTTTTATCGCCAAGTGGGAAGGGTAAAATTTTTTCAGTGCCGATAGAATTCAACAATTGATGTTATTGAACAGATTTATTATCGAATGGCAACATTGAGTTTTAAAAAGCAGGTGATGGAGCGTAAATTATAATGAAATAAATTGTACTGAGGAGGCGTTAGTAATCTACAATAATAATTCCATTGAAAATATTAAGGTTCTCGCATAAAAATCACTTTATTGGTCCCTAATAAACTCCTCTGTAATCCTCCAGCGATGATACTGTGCGATATTCGTGACATTGACCTCTAAAAAATAGTGGTAATAACAACGAATTGACAGGAGCAAGTGGCGCCTCATTTCGGCCCCCAATTAGCCAATTCCCCTCGAGGCATAAATTCTTAACCTCATTTCCAAAATCAATGGAATTCCAAAGATTCAGAGGATTGAGAGCAATGGAAGATTCGTCGCTTTCACTATAAATAAATACAATTCTCATACTAGAAAAAATACGTTACATATATTTTAAAATATAAAATTCTGGTCCCGGGGGAGTGCAAGGAGCGACTCAGACTATCACACACTCGCAGCATTGTTGAGCAAAGTATACACACTTGACACAACATTCATTGTCCTTATCCTGATGATAATCCTTGAATTGATGATTAACACCGTTGTGCCCATTTTTCGTTGGCTCCTTGGTCTGGAGTTCAATGGCGTCTGTCATGTCAGCATCCTTGGATTTACCTGAAGTCGTTGAAATCTCCAGATGTCTGGGTCGTTCCTCGGAAATGTCATGAATCGCTGAGATGGACTCGACAGGTGGTGAGTCCCTTGTCATGATAACACTAGAACAAACACCAGAGCTTGAACAATACTCCAAAAACATCCCCCGAATAATAAAATCCAAAATGCCACGATAACGGGATTATCACTACCATTTGGCCCTGATGAAAGGCTGAATTCTCGTCATTTCTTCGGGAGTTAGATTCGAGTAGAACGACATGATCGAAATAAAACCATCAACTGCTAGTCTTCAGTACATTATTTGATTCTATCAGAGTTAATAGGGTCTAATAAAAGTCAAACATTTTTTTCTTCTCTCTTTCTCTTATGCCTCAAGACTAACGCAAATGGGGCACGTGCGTAATACCGTACACAGAGGGGGGACAAACAGCTGCAACTGACCATCACACTTTCTGCACCCTTATTGTCATGTCCCCTTTCCCCCTCCCTGTACTCAGTATTTTCACGTACACCCACGTACCTCGAGAATTTTATTCCCTCCTCTAGTTCCCCCTGTTCTCAGCATCGTCTTTCACACTGGGCAAATGATATGCGGATGGAGAAGAGAAAAAAAAAACACAGACAATCTATCGTACCGAGGGGAATAAACTGCTTACTTGTACGTTCCGCGTCTTGGTAGGGGACTTTTGAGCTTCATGACTCCAGGAGACACCGAAATCGACCCAAAAGGATCTCAAATTATCAATGCAGCTTCATAGCCCCCGGCTAACAGGAAATATACCCAAAAACATCTGAAGTACTATAGGCACTTACCTGCCCTCCTCCTCGGGTTTGGTCTCATGATGATGTCTGTGTTTTCGGCGGTTCACGAATATCCAGTTGCGATGACGTCTTCGGCCGAATGGATTTTTTGATGTGTTGAAACTGTAACCACGACCTGATCCAAATTTTGATCTCCCGAACATTATGTGGGTGTCGATCGATTTTATTATTTCTTTTTTTTTTCAGGTATGTACGTGAGTCTATGTTTTATTACTCTTCATTACGAGAGAGCGAGGGACTGAACGCAGTATACGCTGGAGTTTGAGAAGATCCCACCTCGAGGCCATCCGCACTCTGTTTTTCCCCCCCACGATAAATCCCTGCACTATACCGTGTACCACTTCTCTTTGGACACTTGAATTACGTCACTCAGTTGAATTGTCAGGGTTTTATTTCCACTGGCATCGGCTGGAGGTGAATGCTCCAGTGTAAAAAATATCACTTCACTTCACTTTGTGGTTTCAAATCGGTTCCCCAAAAACAACACGAAATATAACGTCACGTACTGAATCACAAGATTCAGGTGAGAGATAGATAAATACATTAACAGAGGAATTTATTTAAATATTCTCGTGACTCCTATGAATAAATGGAGTTCGTGGAGATTTATTGATCAATCCCGAATTCGCAATTAATAAAAATAATTTCTGATGATTGAATGTCGAATATTTTAATTATTTTTATAGTTCTGCGAGTGATTGTGACACGTCATAAAATTATGAAAATTTAAAAAGTAAATACCGCGGATTATGTGGAGCGGCAAATTCAGAGACATCTGTCTTCGACCATGTGAATTAAATGATGGGTACAAACTACTCGTTGTTGGTCTAATCATAAAGCAACAGAACAAGAATAGATTTGTACGCATTGACTCTGTTTTGACGTTTCACTCTAAATTACACGAGTTCAACGAAACACATTCCTGATAGTAATTAATCAAGACGATAATTGTATGCATGTGAAGTGACAAAAGGCACCTCATTGCCATAAAAAGAGTCAAGTAACATCAACAAATTAACGCTGAAAAAGTCAACGGATTAATACGCCTCATTCTATTGTTCGGGTGAGTCACTTGATTTTTTGATTCTCGATAATATTTTATCGCTCTGATTCATTAATTATTCCACCTGTAATCTTCTACTCTACATTGTTACTCCGATTTTTCATTCATTCCTACAACAACAGGTAGCAGCTGTCATATTTGTTCGAATTGTTCTCGATGGAGTGGTTAGAATCACCTGATGAACCTATTGTTTCATAAAAAATTCTGAGCTCACCAGGATTTTTTTAAGTTACTGATATTTAATGTGAAAGTATTTCAGATATCAAGATGCCATTGCTGTACAGTGTAGTTGCACGTGATGCTACAATACTTGCCAAGTACGCATCATGTTCAGGGAATTTCGAGGAAGTAACTGAACAAATTCTGTCAAAAATACCACCACAGAATGACAAACTCACGTACTCCCAAGGGCCTTATCTTTTTCACTACATCAACGAGGACAGAATCATCTACATGTGCATCTCCGATGACGTGAGAATAATTATGAAGAACTGTCTGACGATTGGAAAAATATAACGAATCCTTTTATTATCTATATTTTCTCCCAGGACTTTCAAAGATCGAGAGCATTTTTGTTTCTCAATGAGATCAAGAGGAGATTCCAAGCAACCTACGGATCTGGTGCACAGACCGCCCTGGCCTACGCGATGAACACTGAATTCTCAAGGGTATTAGCCAACGAAATGGTAATAACAGTGGGAATGAGGAAAATTTGAATAGTATTGAATAATTATTTTTCCTCTTCAGAGACATTACAGTGAGTCGAAGGACATCGATACTCTATCGAAAGTACATGGAGAATTGGATGAATTAAAGGACATTATGGTCAGAAATATCGATAACATCGCAATGAGAGGAGAGCGACTGGAGCTGCTAGTAAATAAGACTGAAAATTTGAGTGCTAGTGTACGTCGCAATTCTACATTTTATCCTACCACATAATTACTCGAATAAATTAACAATCGACTTATTTTGCAGTCCGTAACGTTTCGAAAAACAAGCAGAAACTTGGCACGATCTCTATTCTGGAAAAACATAAAAATCTACGCTATTGTTGGAGCTGTTCTGATCGTAATCGTCTATTTTATTGTCTCTATATTCTGTGGAGGACTTGCCTGGCAGAAATGCGTTGGAAACTGATCGCGATAAATGACAACAAATAGAAACAATGAAATAAAATTAATCGAGAACATATTTGTGATGCATCACAGCTATTCGATGTATTCAGAGTACCAGAGAAATTTATTAACTCGTAAGAACTGTATATAATGTACGAGTCCTGGTTATCCCATTATTTAACGAGCATTAATTAACGACCCAGTAGAGATGAAGATTTGATAAGACGTCCAGAGGATAATAATTATGTGTAATACTTGTATCTTGACAGCTCAATTGAGTCGGACATTGATGGAATGCCAGAGGATGGAAAGTTATGTATTTTTGATTATTCATGAATAAAATATATGATGAACAATTTCGAGTTCCTATTATTTTCATAAATTCCCTGAATATTGAAAAATATTTTTTACCCTCTCCCCTCAAACTGAGCCCCCCACCCCCTCGTGTTCAGAGATCCCCACCCGAGTGGGTCATACCGAAAAAAAAGGGTGCCGACCTGGGGAAGGGGAGGCCGACGGCGCTGGCGTCGCGACGCCCGGGTCATTCCAGCCTCGGTGCTCTCGGGATGTCGATGACTCGTGTGGTGCGCCCTTCGGGGGTGCAAATCCCTTTCTCTCTCACGTATACAATTGATCCGAACGAGGCTGGGTGAAATATTCGGGCGTGGAACGGAAATTACATGTTGCATTCCCGAATTAATTAAACATCCCGCATTAATCAGCCACCCCAGATAAATACATATATTCCATTTGGGATAGAGAATAGGCCGCGGGTGATTGGTCAATCCTGATAGGGGGATGAATCAGGACAACACAGCGTGTACATGCACACAAATGCCACAGACACTCGAACGTCATTGTACCAGTGGGGTTGTACTACGCTACTTTTACTACCATTGAATCTCACCGAAGGGTAGGGGGTTGGGGGTGGAACAGAGGCGGCAAAGTTGGCACACACATCAGGGGTGGAAAGAGAGAGAGGGTGAGAGATGGTTCCAGTTCGTGACTTCGGCCTGCATCCCCTCTGTGCATCCACCTCGTGTTTAGTTTTTCTTTGCTACTGATGAGGTGCAGTACGTGCCAGGAGGAAGTTCAATCACATCGAGGCTTTTTTCAAATACTCCGCTGCATTGCAAACATGAGATAACTCCCCGGTGAGTAAATTTCTCTGTTTTCCGAGCTGTCGTTTCACTTTTTTCAATTAATTTCCACTCCAATTGGTTTTGTGATTTTTTTCTCTTTCATCCGTTTGTTGGAATTTTGTTTTCTGGGTCGTTCTGATGGAACGAATGAAGTCTCTTAATTATTTCAATGGTTTAAATGTGAAGGCATTTTTTTGGTGAAGATCGATAACAATTCTTGGTAATACGAATGACTTTTTTTGGGGGGTTCCACGAGGGAAATTAATGATATTTCGTTGTGCGTAGGGTGACTAAGGGCGGGGATCATTTTATGGGCAGACTGCTTCATTCTGGGTCGTGTGGATGTCGTAAAGTATTGGTGGACCAGAGGGAGGCGAGTGTTTGGGTATTTTCATCGGACAGGAGTCACCCCCTCATCCCCAAGGATGCTGAAGTTAATGTCGTACATCCTGGGGATAGATGATGTGAGAAATAAATGCAGTGGGACACTGGGCCGATTATTGCCTTACCGATTCCACTTGGAGAAATGCGAGGAATCGATTCACCTGTAGCTGAACAAGAGTTGGATGCTGGCAACAGAGGGACCTGAGGAACTTGAGGGACTGAGGGACTGAGGGACTGAGACGCATCAAGAGGTGGTGATTGAAAAAAGATAAGGGTGCGAGGATGATTCGACGTTCAAGGGCAATTGTTTCGCACTGTCGGTGTACTCGGAGGATATGTACTCTTTAGAATTCCAAGGGTAAGGACGTCGAGAGACTGAGAGAGGGCGAGATACAAAGGGGGTGGAGGTGGTGAAGAATAGACGGGAGTCGATTGTCAGAGGGTGGTGGAAACGGGGAAGAGAAAGATAAGGAATACGATGGGTGAAAGCTCACCCGATCTCAGCCTACGGCTACGCCGTGGCAGCTCAGACTCCAGGGACTCGTTTTATATGGATTTTGCACAGGTAAATTTACATTCTGAATTTCAATTAAGAGTCATTTCTGGGGGGTTCTGGCGCCAGGGGTGCTTGAGTAAACGGGTGAAATGTCTTTTTTAATCAGAGGAAGGCGGAAAAACCCATTGCAACCGAGGAATTTTACACTCCGGGGGTTTAATTAAATTTTTATGCTCTAGATATTTTCTGGATGAAAAAAATGTTTCCCAGACGATAATTTATTCAGTGAGAAAATGAGGATTTTTCAATGGTTTAATAATTAATGGTGATGCATGGAACGTTTTTAGATACGTATGAGAATTTTTCTTTTGTGGTGTGAATGGAAAAATAATCTGTAAAAGTTGGCGATTTAATGAATTGGCATTGTGTTGTGGTCTGTTTGTCTTTTTAGGGCATTGATTCAGACATTGAGGAAGTGGCACGACCCGCTGACAACTCAGACCCACTTGCTGAGAATAATCTCGGGGACAATGGAGTCGATGTGGATGAGAATTTTCCACCACTGGACGATGTCTGCGGTACAATACCTGAAGAGGCATCGGAGGAGTTGCGCGAAGAGGAAGAGGCAGAAGCCGCTGCCCTGGAGGCAGCCAGGGACAGCCCAGATTCACCAGTAATTGGTGCCATTACGAGGAGGGCGCAAAAACCAAATGAGTGAGTAACAATTTACCCCTCTTTCAATTTACTCCTCCATCCACTTTAAACATCATTCTAATTCCAAACAAATGGTATGGTATTCACCGAAAAAAATACGCGTAAATGAGAACTCCTGGTATTTTCATTAGGAAATGGAAGTTCAAGTCGAACTGTTCCGAGAAATTTATGAAAATACATTTTCTAAATGAAAAAGAGAATTGGAGCTTGAAATGTAGGTGTTGTCCTTTTGGATAAACTCGACAATTGTTTGGAGAATATTTGATGAATGCTGAGAAGTACAATTTTTATACGAGCCAATGTCGCACCTTATTCAGGATAAATTCCTCAATATCCCGCTCCACCCCCTCCGGAAATGCCGATAATAAACGTCTCGCCCTCCAGTCAAACGCATTTGCCCTTCCTCCCCTCCCGAGAATGCCGATAAAACCGATTGCCACCGTAATCATTCGCCAAAACTCCATCAGCTTCCTGTCCCGGATATGGAACGCACACCGGTATCCACAAAAATCCAGATCCTCCGTGTGATGTGTCTCGATGTTAAATCAGATGATCCATTAGAGAATACCCACACCCTCGCTCCATAAATCCGAGTAATACTCAGAGAATGAGTGACAGCTGGTCAGTGGATCAGTCTGTGATGTGGACTCGCGTTGATATTACAACAGCTGACCGAGTGACGTTTATTCTATCTGTCAGTCAGTGTTGGTCAATTGTCTCGTGAAAATGCTCATTAAGGAAACGTCACTCAGGTGAGAATTTCCGTATAAAAAAAAATTGATGGAAAACTGACGATTTTTAATCTCATCTTGAGTACCTGGGGATCGAGAGAATTCCCTGATGATGAGATAAACCGGGTCTGGTCGGTTGGTTAACCGGGTTAGAGTGCACCGGCACTGGTGGATGATGACAACGAGGTAGTACTGAGAAAAATTTTACGAGGTGCACTGAAGTGCACGGAGAAAAAAATAATAATGAAGAAAGACGTAGGTAGAGGCACCTCGAGGATGGGGTTTGGAAAGCCCCTCGTATACAATGACCGAGCGCCACTCAGCCGCTGAATCAACCCCTCTCTCCTCCTCGAATCCCTCTTTAACCCGCCCTCTGCCACCCCCAACCCCAGGGGTTCAGCCGCTTTTGCAAAACTACGTGATTATTTCAAAAAGCTCACGTCTGAGATGAGCCAGTCTTCTTTTCTCCCTCTCGTTCCTCTCGTTCCCCACGTCCCCCACGTCCCCCACGTCCCCCTCGTCACCCTCGTCACCTCGTCCCCTCGTTCCCTTCGTCTCCCTCATCTTCCTCGACCCCCTCTACCCCATGCCATCACCCTCAACTACTTCTTCACTCCTTATTCTCCCCATGTACATACATATGTGCATGTACTCTCGAACATCCTTTGTTCAAGGAATGAATAATGAAGAGTATTACTACCAATGTTTGGCATTTCAGAAATTGCTCTCGAGTTCAGGGCAATTTTATAAATAAATTTGTATAAGAATGATTCTTATTTGGTGAAGTAGTTGAATTTTAGGAAGAGATGGCACTGGATATTCTTCATTGGTGTTTAATCTCGACGGAGGGGTGTTTTTGATATTGTTAATTAATGTTGTTACAGTTGGCCAGGTCTTCCAGGTGCCCTTCCATCGCCAGCTTCCCCCACAGCAGTGATCGTATCCCCTGAGACCCTCTCTCGTCACAGCAGCAGTTCCCCATCCCGAAATAATCGTCCAGTTGGTCAATTTGCTTTGGCTATTCCCTGCCCAGCGAGACCAATACCAGCGGTATGTTATCCCGCGGCAACGTTTATCGACGTTGTCGAGGAGCCAGTGAGCCGTCACTTGGGAGCGTAAGTTTATTTACTTAATTGACGAATATATTATCCACGGGGCAATCACAACGGATAAAAGGGAAATATTTGTAAGGAAATCACACTGTCCACGCGTGAACGCCTAATCCAACAATTACTGACCACTTTAGGGATTATAAAACGACAACTCGTTGGATTCCGAGCAATTGAGCCAATACCTTTTTTTATTTATAGAGACAGACGTGGCACTTTGGTTTAATTTTTTATCATTGATTCGAGTGAATTAAACAATTCGTTGTCATCAAGCATTTCGATTTTCTTTTTTGGGTCGAAAGTTGTTCGTGATACGAGACAATTCGGCAGAGAACGAATGTTGAATAATTAATTGACAAACAATTGAATGATTTCTGTCAAAAGGTATGCATTAGCGACGACACTGAGTGCCCTTTATGGAAAGCTCCTCGTGGTGATGGGAATAGCATTTCCCATGGCCGAGGTGATATCCACGTACATTCCCCCTTCATTCTACGAAGGCTTCTACCTATACCTCTATTTCGGCAGTATGTTTTTCCTCTTCATCATCTGGGCGATGATGCTGAAGGACGGCAAGCCCAAGTCCAGTGAGTACCAAATAAATTTCATCAAAAGCCCATTAAACAAATTGCCTAAAATCCCTGGGAATTGTTCCCCATCAGAGAGCGAGCACAAGGACATGAGTGATTTGGACTCGAGTGGATCGTCAAGTGGTGCTGGTGGTGACAGCGATTCACCTGGATATTCACACTCAGAAGGCCATCACAATCAGCACTACGGTAGTTTCTACCTACGAGTGGGTGCTGTGGCATTTGGAATCGGTTCAATGATTTACTCTGGCCTCGAGTTTGGTCAGTACTTTGAACTAGAGCAGAACACAAAGTGCCACAACATCATGCTGGCATTAACACCAGCAACACGAATGGCGTTTATCTTCATCCAGATGTACTTCATCTTCTTGAACAATGAGGTGGGTACGAGGGATCCACGAGTATTATCGATCATGGTAAAGAAAAAAAAAGAATGAGACTGCTCTGGCACCCTCGTCAACCACTGGAAAATGAGGATAATGAGGTGGAAGGGTGAATGCCCCTTTGGGTTTTATCAAGGCTTGTTGAAACTGTCAACTTTAAACGTAACGAGCGAATGCCTTTTTCTTCTTTCAGCAAATGAAGGTGTCTACGCATCGTGTAGTTGCGCGATTCGGGCTGATGCATATGATCGGTACTAATTTGTCGGTTTGGCTGAATGTACTGGTGCAGGAGACTAAACATGAAATCCTAACGTTCTACAATCCCGAGAATAATTCATTGAGAATTTCTCATCGTCTCGGTAAGTCTGTATTTTCTGAATAATGAGGTAATTCAATAATGAGTGAATTAATAATCCTCAGGTGGTAAAATCCACTTTGCTGGGCATTTACATGGCCACGAAATTCAATCGAGCGATCACGTCTCTCACGTTCGACTGCCACGTGGTTTGAAGGGCCCTCACCACATGTTCGAGTGCAGACGAACTAACATAATTGGCTCTCTCGTTCAGGACGCAAGCCCCTTCCTCTTTCCCTGTACAATCGAGTACAGCCTCATCTGCGCAGCTATTCTCTACGTCATGTGGAAGAACATATCAAAAGTTGGACCATCAGTACCCACAACACCACCAGGAAGTCGTCACCAGGCGCATGCTTACAGAAGATCACCTCATCACTACAGCGTCGATTGTGCAGGTGCACACAAAGGCCTCTTCATTGGTATTCTCATTCTTGTCCTCACCATCATCTGTCTGATCCTCTTCTTCGTTCTCATATCAAGACCCGAGCTCGTCAATCTCGCTGTCACCGAGGTCAACATCTGCGAATTAACGCTCTACGGAATGTCCACCCTGGCAACACTAATCGGAATGCTGAGAATGAGAAAGCTGAGGTACGATGGCAGCAGAAATCTGGAGCTCGACAATATTTTACTCGTTGCAGCGCAGACCGGAATGTTCATTTACTCGACATTCACAATAATTGGTGGACATTTCACTCTCGAGAGGCACACCATTCTGGTTCTCATCACGGCGTTGGCCAGTGTTGTACAGACAACCTGTCAAACAATCTTTATTCTAGACTCATCGAGAAGATCGGTCTCAACGTCCGAACAGATTCGTCACAAGCCTGGCCGTGAGATCGTCACCTTTCTTCTCGTTACCAATTTGGCAATGTGGGCTATTAACACTTTGGAAAAATCCAGGGCAGAGTCGCATCCTGTTCAGTTGCATTTCTATGGGCTCTGGGCTTGGACCATAATCACTCATGTATCTATGCCTCTGGCAATATTTTACAGATTTCACAGCACAGTCTGCCTGTGCGAGGTGTGGAAGAGGGCTTACAAAGTCAAACCGACATACATGTGACGCAGGCGATCATGTGGGACTAAGAAGAGGTGCATTGACCACAAGCGTCACAAGATTGTCCCCAGACTCGACATCATCACCGAGAATGATCCGACTTATTTCATGTGATTTACGCGTTATTACTACGGTGATTACTAGGTTACTGTTTGTTCTATTGTCTCAGGAAGTATTCATTGACTCTCCATTTCATGTACCGAGGCATCTAGCCATGCAAATACCGAGAAACAATTAATTTTTCATTCTAATAAAGATGGAATGAGGAAACTTTCTTTTCGAAAATGTATTCATTAATTTGGAGTCATTAAAACTGCTGGAATTATTGCTGCGGGTCGAGTGGAAATTATGGTAGAGTTTAAGAACTTTTCGAGTTCAGGTGGTGCTGAACAAATTTCAGATGAGTGATTCAATGAAATTCATGCACAATCAATTAGTGGAATTCATCGTGATGAGTTAGAGCCCGTTTTACCGTTCGATATTAGCTATTTCCGGTTTGATATAAAGCGGATACTAAATACATACGCCAAACGACGTTCGTCCGCGCAACGCCATCCCACTTAAGTCCAATTGAAACGATACGAATATATAATATGTGTAATAAACGTGCACTCTAGACGTGTCTATGTAGATTTTTTTTTTTTTTGGTTCACCGTCAGGTTGTACTGTGGTGTAGATCATTAGAGCATCAATTTTGGTTTCAAGAGGTGATACGCAGCTGATACTATCACGTGCTTCACACTCGCATGCATTAAAAATCGTAGACACTTCAGGGGAATTGAAAAATCCCATTAGATTAAAATTTTTGATATACCGGGAGACTAAACAGGGATTGGTATTCGTAGAATTAGATTATCTTCATATCACGTACATGGAACAAATAAATGGGATCAATTTGATTCGAGACTGAACTATCATGCTCAATTTAATCTTGGGGTGAATGATAAAGTGTATGATGATGAACAGACATTTTTCATTGAGAGTTCTCCATTCACGGAGGGAGGAAATTGTTTTGCGGTTGCCCTGATACCTCTGGTACCCCTGATACCTCTGGTACCCCTGGTACCCCTGGTACCCCTATGTTTCTAAAAAATTAATCCCCATCGTCACTCGATCGAACACTCTGACACGCGGTTAAAACGGGAAATATAAATTGATTGGTTGAATCGATAATTCTGTAATATAGTTTTGAATGACTCAATGATGGAGTAATTAGATTTTTTTTTTTCTAATTGTAAATACTCGCAACAATCCAGCTCGATGTTTTACTAGACTAGAGAGAAAATCTTCCTCGCGTAATGTATAAGTATATTACATTATAAATAAGATGCTATTATATTATAGATATATTATATATACATTTATATACGAGATTTATATATTTATTATTGCGTTATACAATTATATGATATTTATTGCCAACTCATAATACGCACGAGACGATAAATAAAGTGAAACGTTGACGATTGTTGAGATTTGCATCGGGATGGCCGTTTTTTTATGTAAAAAAATGAATTTGTTTCGATAGATATAGATTAAAGAGTTTTTTAATTGTTGCTTGGCGGGCTTCGACTCGTTTTTAATGAATCATGAGAACCGAGGCTCGTCTGACTCTCGATGGGAGTCTCAACGTCTCCCTGTGTATCTCCTATCAAATTATTTCTTCCGTTCAATATGATCATACGTCATTAAGAAAAATTGCTGTAACATTTTTCATGTCCGCATAACTCTAGTTCCTAGTGCGATGTTTGTACTCTTATACCCTTTATACTATTTGTACCTTGCGAAAAATGAGACAATTATGCAATACACTCGTCCGCAATAATTTATCTACCTTAATTAACCACCAGTGATTACAATTACTCAACTACTCGTTTATCTAGGGACTGAATTTCAATGCGGTAAGTTGAATTGAATAAATAATATATTCAAATCTCTCAAGATCTTCAGAATAAAAAAATTACCCCAACGCATATTAATCCGAATAAAAAAAAACCGATTTACAATTATTTTCCAGAGTAATTAAAAGATAATTAAATTGAATTCCTGGCCTAGATCCGTAAACCGCGATTTCTGCCGTGATTTAAAATAAAAAAAAATCCCACAATTGGCTAATAACTACCCCCTACAAAAAAAGAATTTTTTTTAATCAGGACACCGGCATGAAGATAAGGGGGAAAGGCCTAGTTGGAGAATTCTCGTCGGAGGCATTTGTATTGATCGCCTACCCCATAGCACGGGGTGTGCGAAACCACCCCCATGGCAGCCATCACGGTAGCCCATGGGTTCAACCCCCCGACGTAGGGGTAAAACCAAAGTGGGGGATTGAGTCGCACGTTCGACAGGATTCGAGGGGAATACCACCGGCAAAAGCTGGATGACACGGGATTGGACTTTTGACCGAATACACGAGAATCTATTCCTGGTTAACATTTTCATCCCCCTGCGCATGCCCTCACAACCTTGTTTACATCAAACACTTCAAAGGAGCCACGCACGCCGAGCGAATCGTAACTCATCAGCTCTCTCTCCATCTCGACCCGAGTGTGTCCTCATTTTTTTTTTGGAAAAAAAAAAAAACGAGGGGGGCCCAGAGGAAGAGGGAGAACGGTTGAAAGGAATTCACGGTTTTATTTCACGTGGGGGAGGAGCTGCGAAAAGGTGGAAAATTATTTTCTTTTATTCGGGAAAAAGTGGGTGAGCCAGTGAACACGAGGTCGACAGAGTGCCGGGTGGAATCGTCGATGGCGGACACCAAACCGAGAATCGTTAAGTGTCACATTATAGAATCGGCAGACGTCTAGCGACTGCGTAAGTTTTTCCATCAATCAATTAATTAAATGTGTCCTGAGGGGTTGTGCCAGTGATTTTTCGGAGTTCGTTGTCTTCCTGATGCACTTCCAGGGGTTGTACTGAGGGTGTGTTCAGGTTAACGCGGTGGTTCAAGGGTGTGAGGGGTGAGAGGGTGTTTTTGCCAATTGAAAAAAATTCTCCTTGGCTTGGCGGTCACCCTCGGCGATGCTCCAACGACGCGTGCAACCCCCCTGTGCTACAACCCCCTCCCTATATTTTATAACAGGGGATTCACAAAACCACTGGAGGGTGTATTGCATGACGCGGGAATCTACCACGAGGAGACGATCGATCCTCTTTGTTCCCTTATGCTTCTCTTTGTGAGACCTGGCCTTTCGCGATTTTCTCACCGATTATTTATTTCCATTGATTTATCGGTGATCATTATTATTCCAGGAAAATGGACAGACGAGTCGCGAAGACAAAGGGGTGGCTTTTAGGCGAGATTAATACCTGTCTCACGATTTTCTCCGATTTCTCTGTTGTGTATTTTTTTTTTCTCGGTTTTTACGAATCCGGTAAATTATTCTCCTCCGTTCTCCGATATCTTTGTGGCTAGATAAGGGAGGATTGACAATGGGGAGACAGGTATCTCAACTTTGCATAAACGATATGACAAAGAGTCCAGGGTCTCGACGTCTGCAACCGATAGGAAACATTGGGCAAAGTTCCCGAAGCCCGTGGCATTGAATCCTCGACATGCTAGGGGGGAGAATTTCGAGGGTGAGGAGTTGCAGGGGGATTTCTGTACCAAAGCGAGGGTGGTTTTCAACAGTGGGGATAGCGTCCCCGCAGATTGCTCGGGGTTGCCACGGCGTCTGCACGTCGATCCTTCATATTCCAAAAAAAAAAATTTAATCGAGACGATCTAATTCCGTTGTTTTCGAGACGAGTTTTTAATCGCCACGTGAGAATCGATAGCGGTTCGACGACCGAGTATCACCGGAGTTTCATATCGGTCACGTGAATCCACAGGTTTTCTCGGTTGTTGAAGACATTGAGACACGCCACGGTTTTTTAGTGAATCGTGATAATTATCACTCAATCGCGGAAGGAGAACAGTTGATCATTGATATTGTCAATTGCGTCAGTAAATTATGGAGGTAAGATGCCATTGCAATTATTCCATTTTTTAATTAAATTAAAAACAATGAATTCCAATGGAAAGTCCAAATTTTGAATATTTTATCAACTCGACTAGTTTGAAATTCAATTCGCGAGTGGTAAAATAAAAATACCGCGGGTTGGAGTTAGCACTAGGTGAATTCTAGGGTAATAGTTTCCCGGAGGCGCTCACAGGTGGTCGCCACGCAGTCTGATGTGACTAAAACATCCCCTCGGTGTTTGTTGGTAGTTTGGCGTCGGTAGAGTTGGGTTTTTAGCTAGGGCCAACCGCCCAATCGGGTGGACTGACATCGATTTTCCCCAGGATGGTGAATAGGGTGAGGGGGGGATGATGAGGGGGTGATAAGGTGGGGGATGAAAGTCGGAGGGAATGAAGCGGTCGTTCACTGACTTCCGTTTCCGTTTGTTGTGACGCTAGCGCCTAGTCCTCATCTAGGATAAATCCTCACAACATTGTCTCAACCTAGTACGTGTTGCTCGGCGCTGCCGGACCTCACCCAACCTCACCCCGATGATATTTTCCAACATCTCGGAGGAGAGTGTAAACAATTCCTTGTTGATAAATTATTTTGGCGAATAATCCCGTCGTGATGCTGTTGATAGTGATTTTAGTGTAGGAGGGGGTGGCTTTTTCGGCATCCCCTGGGGTGAAGCCATTGTGGAGTGAGATTTTCTGGTATGAAATCGGGGATTCATTGGGGATTCATCGGGGATGGGGAGTGCATTCACTCGGGATTGGCTACCTCGTCATTAAACAACTCGTCGCGCATCGATTCCCTCGTCCCAGTTACTCCCAGTTACTCCCAGAGAGTTTAATGAAAAATCTCAGGTACAATGGTATCCCATCTCCCAGAGAGTCAGAGGAAATCCATTGGAAAATATCTTAACCCGGTTTTCAAATTTTTTTCCTCTTCCGACCTCGTTGAACGGTGGGTAGGCTTGCAAGGGGTGGCGGGGATTCCGAGGATTCACCGAGTGCCGATGGTATTTACCTCATCTCAGTCGTTGAAATGGGCTGAGGCTGACCCGGTGATGATGGTCTAAATATACGTGGCGGTTGTGAAGAGATGGTTGTGGTGAAGATGAAGTAGGCGTCGCTCGAGAGAACAGTTTGCGTCGGGACGCCGATACAGAATTATTTTACACTCAATCGGACACTATAGAAATTTTAAATCCCATTCAATCCCCATTTTCGCGTGATGATAATTAATTGTGGATTTCAAACATAACGAGTAATTTTAAATAATTCCAGAGTTGAGTTTAGGGTGCGATTGGTTCACCCTGTGATGTCATATTTTTATAAAAATTGAGAAGCCCGAGGGAAAGAGGATCAAGAGGGTTTATTTCGGTGGAGATATTGAGTCTCGACGACCTGAAGGGATTTCGGGTAGGTCGGTAATCCTCGTCTTTACCCGAGGGGATGAATAAACCCCATCATCCCTCTACCCTCCAACGAGATAAATATCACCTGCTACTGAGTCGGAGGAATCTGTCCTATCGACGATAGACCCTGTATGATTTGTTTTTGTTATCTAATTGGGGGAGGTAATTGATGTATTTTTGGAGGGGTCATTGCTCCTGTTCTATATCTCAATTTTCCCGCGTGATCCACCATTTTATCATTGATTATTTCGGTACATATTTACCCATCAGTGCGTGATTGATTGAACAAGTAAATAGACACATCAACATGTGAACAATTAATTATTAACTTTCGCCGCTCTGAATGACGAATTGACCAACTGAATTAAATACGTCAGTCTTTTAATTATAAATTATTATTCTCCCCTCATTTCCGGGATTTTCCTGTTCCCCTATTTAATTACCGATAATCAATCAATAATCGAGAGTTCATTGAAGGTGGAATCAATAGGTTTTGTTCATCAATTCAATTTTCCCGGCTCTGTAATATTTTCGATAATTCAATAACTCGGGGAGAGAATGGCTGAAGGATAATTCAGTTACGACGTCAATTGATTCCAGATAATCGGGGACACATCGATCGCAAAGAGATGCAACGGTGCCCGTACCTCCACGAGATGAAGGAGCGTCTCCTGTCGCAACCAACACCAACGGACAGCCTCGACATGGAGCGTCTCGATGGTGGTACACCGGTTAAAGAGGCTAATATAAATAGTGATTACCCGGCGCATACCAATCCTGGTATTATCCCGGATCCACCAGAAATGCCTCCCGACTCCTTGATCGGCACCGTGGTCAAGGTAAATGATCCTGAGGTAAGGTAGATTGCACCGGTAGTCATCCCTATCCAGTGTGCACCATTTTTTATTCATTAATTCTTCCATTGGACACAAAAATCGACAGATTCCCGCAGAGATCCAGACGTACAGATTGATTACAGGAGATATTCAGGGAAAATCCTATTTTTGTGTCAAGGGATTTTTTGTTTTACCCCGAAAAAAAAATCCTCAGGAATTAATTCCTGTGATTTTCGCAGCTCAATTCCGATGGATATGGCTCCCACACGTCACCAGCCCACGCGAGACAACCCCTGGTGCCCCAGAGCTCCATCAACGCACCCCTATGTCTGACCCCGACCCACGGCTACGTGTACCCGAACATTCCAAAAAATGCCAAGTAAGTATCAATTCGTGAATTTTGTAGAACAATTTATTTACCCGTACGATCACCCCTGATTTCATCCCCCCGTTCATTCGGGTGTCAACCCCCCAAAACCCCCCCCCTCTAAAAAAAAACCGCGATGAGCTTTAGTTCAGTGACGACAGAATCGTGGCAGCACCTACGTCCCCGCTGTACCAAAATCAATACTCGTGCGTGAGCCAAACTCTCGACGCAATCTCAAATTAAAATAAATGAATGAAAAAATCCGCCCCCCCGACATCTGGATAATTGGCCCGGGGGTGCAAAAATAATCTGCAAGATGCGAGAAACTGGTGACAGGGGCTTTCATCTCCTGGACACCCCGCGGGTCCAAAACTAGAAATAGACGTGGAGTAGAATTGAGTTTGGGAGAAAGGTCAGTGACCCCGGGTGTTATCGACCAGGTCAGTGGGTCGGTGAATCCTCACTCTATCCTTTCTCACATCCCTCTCCCACCCACCGGTAAATCTGGCCCAATTCTGAAGCCCAGAGAGCCCAGGGAGACGAGAAGAATAAAGAGAAGAATGAAGAGAAATAATAAATAGTTAATTGGACAAAGCCCCAACTAATGAGACACAACTGGTGATTTTTGCATTGTGCACACAGTTGTATAAACAGAATGGTAAAAGTCAGGAGGGGGTAGGGGGTGGATTTGTAGGGGGTTGATGGTGCGCTTGTGCGAGAAAGCTGGCTGGTGGCCCGGGAAGAGAGCACCCAGGCGAGACCCTCAGTCTCCGGGATGCTGGGGGCGGTGGATTGTGGATTCTATCATTCAAATCCAAACAAATATCAGATCGACTCGTTGAAAATTCCGAGGGTTTTGCGACGCGTGTCCGTGTGGTGTGTGCAGAAAGGGGTGAATTAATCTGCCACCGGATTTAAATCATTGGTATGGGAGAGTGAAAGAAAGTTGAAGAGAATTACTTTTGAAATTTGAGAGTAAAAGAGGATTGATGGAGTCTGGGGCGCAGCCAGTGAATCGATTCATTCGATCGAGTGTACGAGATCGAGGGAATTGATATCGTTAATAAATAATGAATAGCTCATAAATTTTCAAGGGGAGCTGATGAGTATGTGGGCGAGAGAGTGGTTGTAATGTGGCGCCAAAAATATTTTATCGCGAACAAAGAAATCGCGGGCTATTATTGGGGTGATTAATCATTTGGGTATCACCTCGAACCGCCAATTCTCGTTCTAACAAAATCGAAATCAAAATTACCGAACGATTGATTATTCAATGTCTGAACGATTCCAGGGATTTCTCTGACTAAAAAGGAATTGCGAAGATAATTATCATAATTGAAGAATTTTTTTTGGAAAGGGTGGGTCATCTCGTTCACCAAAATGGCGGTCGATTCTCAGGGCTGACGCTGATAACATTATCACCCCGAAATATTCTCTCACTCTTCCCTATCAAAAGAACGAAATCCCGATAAGTGGAGGCCAATAAAATACAAAGACAATAAAGAAAGTGATCAGTAAAAATGGTGGGCGGTGGTGACTGCAAAGTGGCCACTGTCGAGGTTGAGGCAGCCTCGGGCAATGACAACACAGCGACTCTACCATCATCGAGACCCCTAAATCCACAAGGTGGCATTGGTCCACCACCCAATGCCCAGGACAACGCCGAGAAGAACAACGCAGCCAACAAAGAGATGGAGCTCAAGAATGTTCGCTCAACACCTGCCAAACAGTAAGGGCGTCTGAATCATCGTTCCAACAAAAAAGATTTTTTTTTAAATCATCCCCTCGTCTCGCCTTTTATATCACACCCCCGGGTCTCAATGAAAGAACTCACCGATGGAAAAAAATATCAGTCTAGGCGTCACCCCTGATTTTTCCCTGATGAAAGAACCGTGAATTATCGTGAATTATCGACTCCACTCAGCTAATGACAATTTCACATTTTCAAGTTCTCGGAATGAACTGAATGGAGGCTAAACGAGGGGATACGTCCTCATGAGTAATTTATGAACGCCCTATCCTCATTCTATACCACAAAACTAGTTGTCATCGATCTTTTCAAGATGCAATTGCCAAATGGAGAAGGAGAGAGGGAGAACAACCGTAAGTGGATACCTGGAGTAAAACGAGTTCTCGAATTTCACTTCCCCAAGACGCAATTCATGACAGAATGAAGAGGGAAAAAAAAGCGGGAGGTATTCGTAATCCAGAAGTACTCGTCAGTCTTGCGGTGTCACTCGATCCGATCGTTGGGAATTAATTGAATCGATGACGAGTTGATCACTGATCTTTTCGGTTTTAGCACTCGCGGAATTGACGGAATGTGACGTAGTGGATTTATAATAAATCCTGATAGATCCTCCTTGGGGTGGGTGGAATTTCGTACAACAAAGATGAAATCAGAGGGGAAGAGGGTGGCGCGCGCGATCCGTTAGGGGGTGGGAGTGAAGTTGGGAGTGGAAAGTAGGTACTTGGAGGTATCGACCGGATGGCTGGACCGCTCGGAGTCTGTGCCATGCACTACTGTTTCCACTTACGGTTGTCGCCTCAGACATGGAGGGAGGGAAAATAAAAAATCCTGGATACATTCAATAAAATAACGACAGGTCGCGATCTCACTCGGTCACATTTCTTTCCCAATCGCACGTCAACATCATGGCAATTAGAGCGATCCGTTAACTCTCCGTTTTAGCCTCAATTTGTTGGAGCTCTCTCTCGAGAAAAAAAATTCATCTTCACATTGGAAAATTCCCCTTATCTGCCCCCCCCAATATCCTCGAATTAATTGGAGAAATCGAAATTGAGGAATAACTAAATAAATTCAAAACGCGAAATAAATCTGATTTCCCGGAGATTTAAAACAGGATATTTTTCACCGAGGGAATGATTCTGTATACCGAATTCTTCTGTTGAAAAAAATGAAGAAAAGTTGTGACGGTTGATCGAATATAGACCATCCGCTCCAATAATTAAATAAACCTGCTCTCCCCGACGTGATACCGTATTAATCATTCACGAGGGTGAATGTAAATATTAACCCCAGGTCACTGAGCTCGCAATCAAAACACTCCCCCCTGTCCACAAAACTCGATAAACTCCAAGAAAATCATCCCTCCTAAAAGAGCCTCTGAAACTTCTGGAGTCTATGCCAGGGGTTTTGAAATATCGATTAAACGCCCACCGCAGAGGTGCACATAAGAGAAGTTATCCGAAGGCCGAGCGGATGCAGTTCTCCGGGAAATATCATGACATAATTACTAAATAAACTCTCCACCACGCAATGAGACCCCTCGGTGCGATCATGCGCATTGATTCAATAATAAAGTAGGCGAAAAAACGATGAAAAAATAAATACTGATAATTATTGATGCAGCAGTCGAGTGTTTCAGTCTGGCCGGAAGCCAGCCGAAGAGCAGACCGCTGGACCAATCCTCCAACCTTATTTAAACAATAACTTAAAAACAGAAATAGAAAACGGTGAAATAGTAACGGCACGCGTTCAGTTGAAGCTAGACTCGCGTTGGTCAAGCATCGGTGTGTAAAAAATGATAAAAACCGAGGGAGTGAAATTTTTTGTTTGACGATACTTCAGGATTTATGACACCGGTATTATCTCTCCTGAATTATATCTGAGTTTGTCATGGAGACCGAGATAGTGCCGTTTGTCGAGGTCGAGGGCAACGGTGCCCCCAAGACGATGCCCAGGAGGCGAAATTCTCGGGTGAAGGTTCCCGAGAAAAAGGGGTAAGGGATCTCCGAGGGAGAGGCCCAAAATTTACGCGGATGTAACGCGAGGAATAAAATATGACAGGGATGACACGATTTGTTTAAATTATGTGCAGGACATCGCTCTTCATCATCATGAGCTTCATCTACGCTAAACTACTGGTGGTAGTTTGCATAGCCTACGTGATAAGCGACGTTGTGACTCACAAACTACCACTATGGTACTTTGAGGGTTTCTTCACTTACCTATACGGCATGAGTATCCTCTTTCTCCTGTACGTATTCTGCTTCCTACTTCAAGAGAGCGCCTGTTGCTCCAGGGGCGTTGAAACACCTCCACCACCACCAAAACCACCAAAACCACCGAAAGAACCTAAGGACAAAAGCAAGAAAAAGGATAAGAAGGATAAAAAAGACTCGAAGAATGGAAAGAATAAAAAAGATTTTCAGGTAATTGTTTGAAATTGTTTCTGTCAATTGTCACGAGTATTTCGGGTGAACAACACTGACGTAAGACGACGTTTTATGGTGGACATGTGCTGTTTTCTTAAAATACATTCTCAGATAGAGTGGGATTAATGTGGGTTTAGTGGTAAGTCGTGGTTATTTGTTTAGCGGGGGTGTCACGTTTAGTTTGAGAAACTTTAATACTGGGTCGATCCGATATCACTTCTTATTGTTACCCTTGGATTTAGAATAGAATTGTCATTTGTTGGCTTTATTACAACGCTAGTTGTGCCTGCAGGATGCAGCTGATGTTGAGGCAGGTGTCTCAACTCGAGTTCTCAGAAAACGTAAAACATCCCAGAATGATCACAGCCACGGAAGCTTTTTTCTCAGAATTGGGGCAATTGGTAATTGACATGGTTTTATTTTCCGTTGAATATTGAAAATGGTGCTTTGTCAAGGTTGCGCGGAATAAACTATTGAAATTTCAGCATTTGGATTGGGCACGATGGTTTACAATGGCCTCGAGTTTGGATTATTTTTCGAGGTACCCTTCACGTCACCCTGCTTCCAGATCCTTCAGGGAGTCAATCCAATTTTACAGATGGTCTTTACCTTCATGCAGATGTATTTTATCTTCATGAATTCAAGAGTGAGTCATAACTTTGCAATTCAATAACGTGAGAGCTCGATTCGTTGAATATTCTTCATGGGATCTTGTGATTTAATTGCAAAACTTTGGAGATGATTTTTAGTTTCTGCATTTCCCTGACACAAAATCCCCACGAGATCAAAACCACTGATACAATTTTGTCTCACTCATTCAGCTCAACATTCACCGCTTCAAAGTCATCGCTCGTTTCGGTCTGATGCACGTTGTAGCCACAAACATCTGCGTATGGGTGCGAACACTCGTATTTGAGAGCCTCAAAGAGATCTCCCAGTATGGCAGGAAGATTGGAAAGCCAGACATGGGTTTGATCGGTGAGTTGCGATTAGAATTCATCTCAACTAAGAGTCACGTGAACTATAATTCCACAGAGAGCATCAAGAATCACGCGATATCAAACGCAGATGTGTACACAGGTGAGATATCCCGGGATATGGCACAACTCCGTTTGGCCCCAGTCAGCTCGACCCTGAGAACGATCAACACATTTCATCCAAAGACAACAAGCAGATTCGTGAGAACAACTGTAGCATCGGTGGGTCGTTACGCCCGTTCGACGGCTCGTTCTGTCGCCCGAGCCATCACCAGCGGCACATCCTCAACAGCAGCGACCTTCACCACTAGCACCTCAACAACCCCTTCAACAACAACCCTCCGAATGATGCCGACAACCACTCCCAGCACTACAACTACCACCACCACAACAACAGCTCGACCCACATTATCAACAATTCTCGACGCCCTGACAAGCACAATAAAGCCCAATATCACAACCAGAATGACCACCACTAGCACTTCAACAACAACAACAACAACAACCACAACAACAACGACAATGGCTCCCCCGGCGCCCACTTCATCTCCCCTCACATCATTCGCTCCATTCCTCTGGGATTTCGCTGATGCCCCAGCAACAGTCAGCAAGGAAGCCATTCCCCAGTTCTTCGACACAATTAATCAAACGATTGCCAGCAATGCCAGTACAATTTACACACCGAGCTACGCTTTCCTTCAGGATCTTCGACAAACCAATGACTCTTGTGGAAGGGAGAATATCATGGGGAACATCGTGCAGCAGGCTGCTCCTTATCTCTTTCCATTTATCATTGAGTACAGCTTGATTGGTGCAGCTGTTATCTACGTTATGTGGAAGCACATTGGACGTCATCCCCGTTGGCCACATCAGGCCGAGGCTGATCTAGAGCGCAGGCTAGAGGCGATGCTCTCGAGACGAGCTGTTGCACTGGCTCATGCTGGTGAGTTAATGCGCATGATTGCCTCGAAACGGAGGAATTCTGGATGATTGGTCACGGTGAGAAGAACGATATTAATGATTGAATTTGTTTCAGGTCATGGAAGAGTTGACTGCGTGGGTGCGAGCAAAGGTCTTTTCCTGGGGCTCTTCCTCCTCGTTGGCTCCCTCATATGCCTCATCCTCTTCTTTGTACTGATCCATCACCCATCATTCGGACTGCTGGCAATCTATCTAGCTGATGTGTCTCACTGTGCCCTCATGGCTCTCTCAATAATCGCCATTATAATTGGCTTCTGTCGTGTTCAGTCCCTCAAGTTCAAAGCCGAAGAGCAGAGTGATCTCAATGATATTCTTCTCCGCATATCGGCATTCGGTCTCTTCCTTTACGCTGTATTCAGCGTTATCGCTGGTTCACTCGCTGCATTCACCCACGAGCCAAATCTCCTCGTTATGGTCACTGGTTTACTCGCTGTTGGACAAGTTGTCCTTCAGATGCTGTTCATCGCTGATGTATCACGTAGGCGTGTACATCTACCTGAACACGATCGGAGCAAACCAGGTCGTCAGATCGTTACATTCCTACTCATCTGCAATGTTGCAATGTGGGTGATCTATACGTTTGAGGGACAAAAAGTCATTGCCAATCCAGTTCAACTCGATTTCTATGGGTACTTGTCGTGGACCATTGTGCAGAGGGTGACACTTCCACTCTGCATCTTCCACAGGTTCCACAGTGCTGTTACGCTCGCCGAAATATGGAAGACAAGCTACAAAGCACGTCTCGAATAGATTAATATCACAGTTATTGTGTGATTATTCAGATCATCTTGGTACTTTCGATGGTTCGTGAAATTCTTGGAGTTATCACTCAGTCACTCACCACTTGGTGATCATCCTCGACGAGGTGTCGAGGATTCGAGGGCTCATTTAGCCATTAGCGCGCAGTTTTTATTTTCGCAGTGAGAGCGGATTAATCACGATAACCGACGACGTGTTTTTTAATCATCAATCGCATTTTTATACTTTTATACCTTGAAATCTCCATCTTCGTGCATCGAGGCCGTTGTGCGTAGATTAACAAAAAATCATTAATGAAATAGAAAAATGATTAATTCGATCAGGCATTTAAATGGTCTAGCCCAGTAGTTCGGATTATGAAGGGATTATGTATTCATGGTGACAGATGACTCGATGCAGGAATTAGTGAGTGAATTTCAATTTTTTCAAATAACGGAGACTAAAATTGACGATACAAATGATACAAATATTCAATGGGGAACATAATTTAATTTTTTGAATGCTTTTTTATTATAGATTCCGCGCGCCTGCGTTCGTTGCGTGTTTGTAAAGTACAAAATTGTTTCTAACTCTTTAAGGATTTATATTTTAGGTAAAATTGGCGTGATTCGAAATGAGAGGTAACGAGAGGGGTTTTTTTGTTTGTCTTATCGTCGACATTTTTTTTTAAAGGCAGACATGATCATGAGAGAACGATGGAAAATGATAAAGAAAGATGCGTGTATAAACAGAATAGGGAGAATATTTTTTTTTCGATGAGAGATCAGAGATGGGGAGAGGTTCAAAGAGAATAAGATTGATGTGATCGTGGGACGATTGGTGGAGTATTTGACGGGATTCAGTCATAAATACGAACTACGAACTAATAAGGTAGATGATATCATTAGACAATAGTGATAATTGAGTGAAAGACGTGTAGTTCAAAAAATCCCTACTCATAATTTTAGAGAAAAATCTTTTAAGAATTATAAAGAAGGAAAAAACAAACAAGACACTCGTGTCATTCACGTGAATTTAATCATCGACTAAAAATTAGTCTTTAATGTTCTCCGTGTCAACTGAAATTTTCCCAGCAGACTCGAGTTAAATAAATCATATGGAAGATACACGTGTACTTATTAGCTTGCTGCTAATAAAATTCTCACTGTAATTTTGTTTTGCTCTATCGAAGAATAATAAAAAATTATTGATAGAATAATCGTAGATCGTTTTGTTCCGGTGAACCGAACGCTCTACGATAATTATACATAATTATATAGATTATAAATATTGATATTAACTAAATTATATTATATGATTATTATACATACGAAAAAAATGGAGTAAATTAATCATGACCCGAGTATTTCGCGTAAAAATGTACCGTTAATAACCAGAAAACGATTATAAATATATAAATAGATTTTAAATAAATACAAAACGATAAGTTGCGGTTATTCAGATCGCTTGAACTCTGTGCAGTGAAAATTGATAAATTGAAATATCGAATGGATTGTAAATATCTCGGTTGAAACAAAATATGAGAAAATTAACAGAAATGAGGAGCAGACGTATCTCTGAGACGAGAGGAGAGTAATCATCCCTGAGTTGTCGCGTTTATCTTGTTTTTCGCCTCGGAATAACATCAACGAAAGTTTTATCCTGATTTCACTGGCATGCAGAGGGGATTATTATCGAAATATGATGATTGGCGGAAAATTAGATGCTAGAACTACCAAGACACTGCCATTAATCGGACCAACTCTCAGTGAAGCTAAACGAGAATGGCGTGTCCTTAAAACATTGGAATTCGGCCAGAAATAAACTCATACATGGTGTTGAACCCTCCAAAATTCTCAAAGAGAAATAAAACGCCTAGTCCAGTTTAAATCCTAGTTAAATTCTCAATTCCATCACAATTAACTCCTTCATTAATCACGGGAGTGTCTAACTGCACGTCATAATGTATCTGAGTGCTGAATGCGTGATAATAAATTTAACAATGATTAAATATTCAGCAAGAATGACTGTCTTTTCCAGAGTTTGTTCGCGAACTCAAATTTAACATCGTGTCTATGTGGCTTTAAGTCGTCTTAGAGTCCTCAGACTTGTGTACTAAACCGAAAAAAAAAAGAACGAAGATATAAAAAATTTTAACGAGAACAGAAATATCTTAAACACTTTAGCCGTAAGCCTAAACCGATACGAGGATAATTACCCGAGTGCTGAGGATGGAAAATATTTTTTCGTTTCTCGTCACTCGAGACATCATCCCCGACTCCTTGTCATTTACTCACTTACGTAGATAAACGATAAATTAAATAGTAAACCCAAAAAGTAAAAATAAAGTTTTTGATGTCTTCGAGTGTAACTATGAAGTTTGTAAAACACACGCGCACAAGTGACAATTTAAGAGTTCACGTGACTATATACAAGAAAATTTAATGATCTAAAAATTATAAGGATAAAAATGAATGCGACAAATTATACACACGATACACGATTGAGATGAGATGAGGAAAAGAACAGAGGAACGTTGAGAAATAACATTTAAATGTAAAAGAAAACATTAATATATACATGTTGTCGAGTAACTAAGTTCTCAATTCGAGTAGAAAACAAAGGAAATAATTGTAAGCGACCCCCCATTTTCATTTATTCATCAATTCATCGTAAATGAGTAAACAAAAAAATTACTAAAAAATACAAAAAAAAAGAGAGAAAAAAAAAGGTAATAGTATTTCATCGTAATACGTTTTCTCCCGATTCACGCACGAGCATTGACGCGTCCGCGTTATATTTGTAACGCTGAAGCCGCATTAATTGGTTAATAAAAGTTATCTAGATGTAAAAAACAATCAATTTGTCATTTTGTCCTGGACTACCAGAAATAGCCCCCCCCTTTCTGTAAACAACATAAACTGCAGAGACTTCTTGACTTCAATTACGATTTGGTAATCGATTTAGGTCAACAGTCGTGTGATCGAACCAGTTCTTGATCGAGTACATTGCACTTGAAAATAGAAAGGCTCGGTGCAAGACTCAGCTGGTATTTCAAACGAGTTTTCAACCAGAATTTCATCATAATGACTATCTGATACATAATCAAATATCTGTTGTGAACATACGGTAATGAAAGGGATACCATGTGTGGCTTTGAAGTGGGGCACGAATAAAATACCCACGAAGGAGACGAGCCCCCGAAGCCAGTGAAGCATGGTTTATATCAATAAAGCCTTCTCACCCTGATGAAATTTACATCAGCAATGAAATTGCCAATTAGGCTACACCGAGACCTTCAAAATTACCGGAATATATATATATTATTCCCGATAACAGCGTTCCACAAAAATCGACTAGTCCAGTTTTGCAGGACAACTAATTCCAGCAAAAGTTGGGGCACCAGCTAATTTGCTCTGAATTTTCAGAAACAATGGAACAATGATAATTATGAATTATTATGCATAATTATTATTCTCCGATTTCTAAGGACGCATATACTACGGAGGTATTCTGCAATGCAAATTTTCGCAATCAAATGCTCAAACTATGCCAGAATAATAGGAGAAGGCATATTTATTGCCGATAAATAAATCAATTAATTTGGGGGAAAAGCCCGCCATTTTTCCGTTTGCGCGGGAGAACAAAGAAAAGTTTATAAATCGTATTATTCAATAGAAAGGAGGTGATTTCGTACGTCACTCGTGTGCCGGTGTGTTCCAGGTCGGCCTCTAGCTCCCAGGGCGAGGGGAAAACGGTCAGGGGATTCAAAACACTCACCAAACGAGACGGAAAAGGCGGAAACTCCCGAGAGGAATAGAGACGCGGCCGCCATTGTTCGACGTACTAATTCCCACAAGATGGCGCGTCGGTAGAACCCCCCCCTCCAAACGATTCCCAGCGCCCGGGGAACATGTGAAATCGTCATATTGAAGTTCACTGGTGTGTGTTGAAGTTGTTGAATTGTGTTCAACCGCGTGGTATCACGATGGCTGACGAAACACGAGCAGACCTGCTGGAGGCAATCAAAAGACAGGGTGAAATCGTGAGGCAATTGAAAGCTGCCAAAGGAGATAGCTCCAAGGTAAGTGATAATCACCGAGAAATCGCCGAAATTCCCATTATTAAAATCCTCAATAGCACATATGGAGATGTGTCTTACCGGGTGTTGAGTTATCAATTGCGATTCGTTGGGGTTGACTTTCACTTCAATTTGAGAATTTCTAGTTAGAGGGTTTAAATAATTACTGGGGAACTCCCGGTTTTTTTTTTCAAGTTCCATTGGCTTTTACGATTTTTTTCGTTGAGATTGAAGACGTGGTGTAGGATATGCTTAATGTTGTCTGTTTCATCAGGCAGTTGGTGTTGATTTTATGTCACTATTGGCTGATATTAACACCGGTCTCGGGGATGTCAGTTACATCAGCGGTTGGTTACCCTCGTGCTACGACAAAAAGCTGTACGATGTTTGCGTTAAATTTTTGAATGGTGAAATTGAGAGATATCCACATTTGAAGAGATGGTTTGTCAATGTCAAGAGTTATGCACCCAGTGAACGGGATAAATTTGTTGAGGGCTCGTGTAAAACGAGATTAGAGGGTATTGTTGAGGCGTTGAGCTCGGGTAATCGTGGAGATGCTGGGAGTATTGATAAAAAGGTGAGGCAGTGCTCATGATTATGCGACACTGCCACTGCATAAATATTAAAAACTAATTACTCTCAATATCGAGTACAAATTCGGCTTATCGTTGTGTGAATCCTCCTCTTGGAGTGATCTCGGGTCATTTATCTCAACAACTTCTCCACTGGGATATTTTTGATACAATTTTTCCGATTAATTTAATAACAATGTGGCAGTGACGTATACTAGTTAATAAAACAATCTCTGATGTTTGCAACCAGTTGTTAATCATCACTGAAGCGGACTTTTTACTTTGATTCTGGTTACGCCGTTAATGAATCCCTTGATGAATCATGTTTCGCCTGATGCGCACGAATTTATTACTTGCCACCTGCAAATGTCGCAACTCGTCAAATGTTGCTGCAACGCAGGTACGAGAGCAAGTGAATAGTTATTATTTCATTTCAGATATTTCCTGTTAGGGTGGAGATAAGGTGAACCTAGTTTTTTTTTTTTGCATTTCTAGATAGCTGAGGAAGTATCTAAACTGCTAGAGCTCAAGGCACAGCTAGGGGATGGGGGAGAGCCACAGAAATTCAGTCTCAAGACCCCCAAGGGCACCAGGGATTATAATCCAGAGCAAATGGCACTCAGGCTCGGTGTTCTGGATAAAATAGTCAGTGTTTTCAAACGCCACGGGGCTGAGACCATCGATACTCCCATTTTTGAACTCAAAGTACGTCTAATTTTTTTTTTCAATCATTGGCCCCATTTGGTATAGAATTGGCAAGGAATTCAGGAATGGAAAGTCTCAAAACAATTGTAGCTGATGGTTAATGAACCATTCACTTTTTTTCCGCCTCCAGGGCTTCAATGATCTAACAGAGACGGACTTTCACAAACTTATAATTTTCTCAGATCGCCCTACTTTTTCAAATAATTTATCATTCCCCTTTCGAAACGAAGAATAAGGCCCTCGATACGCCATTGGATAAATTGCAAGTCTTGTTTTCCTCCAGGAAGTGTTAACTGGAAAATATGGAGAAGACACAAAGCTGATATACGACCTGAAGGATCAGGGGGGCGAGATCCTGGCGTTGCGCTACGATCTCACAGTTCCTTTCGCCCGTTACCTAGCAATGTCCAAGATAACGAACATAAAGAGATACCACATCGCCAAGGTGTACAGGCGGGATAATCCCTCCATGACGAAAGGACGATATCGAGAGTTCTACCAGTGTGATTTTGATATCGCTGGTCAGTACGATCCGATGATCCCCGACGCAGAGTGCATTAGAATTGTCTCAGAGGCACTGACCAGTCTAGATCTCGGTGGTTTTATCATTAAGGTGAATCACAGATGTCTTTTAGACGGAATATTTGCAGCCTGTGGTGTCCCCCAGGACAAATTCAGGGCAATCTGCTCGTCAGTTGATAAATTGGACAAGAGTCCCTGGGAGGAGGTGAGGAAGGAGATAGTCGAGGAGAAGCAACTGGATGATGCAATTGCCGATAAAATTGGCGAGTACGTGTCTAGAAGTGGAGGGGCCAAACTTATTGAAGAACTCAGGCAGGATCAGGCTCTGATGAAGCAATCCGCTGCCAAGCAGGGGCTCGAGGCCATGGAACTGTTATTGAAGTATTGTGATATTTATAGAGTCACGGATAAAGTTCTGTTTGATTTGAGTCTGGCTAGGGGATTGGATTATTATACTGGAGTCATTTATGAAGCTGTTTTGACTGACAGTGAAGTAGGCAGTGTGGCAGGTGGTGGTCGTTATGACAATCTCGTGGGCATGTTCGACCCGAAGAAGAAAACTCCTTGTGTTGGAGTGTCTCTAGGAGTGGAACGAATTTTCTCGGTTCTTGAAAATCGCAAAGCTACTTCCGGTCAGAAGACGAGAACTACCGAGGTAGAGGCGTACGTGGCAACAGCCCAGAAAAATCTGCAGGAGGAGCGAATGAAGATTCTGGCTGAGCTGTGGGATGCTGGCATCAAGGCCGAGCACCATTACAAGAAGAATCCTAAAATCCTGGCGCAGCTGCAGTATTGCGAGGAAAGTGGAATACCTCTGGCTATTATTATTGGTGAAGGAGAACTCCAAAGAGGTGAAGTCACTCTCAGAGAAGTGGCAACACGAGCTGAACGATCCATTCCCCGGGATACCCTCGTCGACGAGGTCAAAAAATGGATTCAGAGTCAATCCAAATGAACATAGGAAATTTTTTGCTTCATACACATTATAATTTCACAGCTTTTCCCTTACCAAATGATTGAGACACAGTACCTCTTCGTCTATCTGGAAATTCTGATGATTGATCAACTACAACAATTTATAATTTATTTCAAACAATTTTTGTCAATAAAATCATGATAAAATCGATTACCTTGTCTTATCTCACTCAAATAATCTACAAATTTACAAAAAAAATATTTAAGGCTATTTCGACACTTGTGTCACGTCGCAGTGGATTCTACGCCTACATAATTCTCGTGGAGAAATATCTGCATTAAAATATATTTTAGGACAATTAAAACTGGATAACTCGTGCCAGCCGAGTTCTTCAAACTTTTCATCGCATCCTCTTCCAAACATATCCATAAATACTTTCATCCTGATTATCAATAGAATCCACAAATATTTGATTCACAATTCCTCTCGATTAATTCCTAAAATACCCTAAATTACAGGTACTATCACAGTATCCTTGAAAATTCCCTGATTAATTCTCATCAACTTGTGGACTCCTGAGAGCCCTTACCCACCCCCAGAGACACTTTACTCTCTTCTCTTCCTCGAACCCCATCGACCCTGACCTCCTGGAGGGAATCTCCATCAGAGGAGCTCTGCATAGAAGCCCTCTGGTACCTCTCAAAGACATTCTCACTCGGTTTATCAATTTTAACCTCGAGAAGAGGTTTGTAGGAATCAATAGACACCCTGGGTTTATCCCCAGGACTCTGCCCCGAGAAAGTTCTGCTGCTCGTTGACTCCCCGGAGCTGTTCTCAGAGACAGTCGACACCTTCCTGTCCCCTCCTTTGACGTCTCCCCAGGTGCCAATCGCTACAACCGAAATTTTTCTCGTCTTATCAGTCCTGTGATCTCTCTCAGTAGTTCCCATGTTTTTCGCAGTCGTAGAAGCACCAGGAATCTCCTCTGGTTCATGTCCAGCTCCTGGAATCTGTTCCAGTAACTCTACCCCGGGAGCTGGAGCCTCTGGACTGGAAGGATTGAAGTGTCTGGGGGTGTCTGAGATAGTCCTCTGATCTCTGGAATCTTTCTCACCACCTCCACTGGTAAAAATTCCATTTTTCTCTCTCTCATCGAAGATGGGATTTGTGACGCCTGAAATAAAGGGATTACTCGAGACAGATATCGCCCTGAGGAAGGGAATCCTCATCCGTGTCTTGACTTCACTTTTTTTATCCTCTTGACTTGGTGAAACGATCGTGACAGTCTTCTGATTGGATTTTCCAGCATTAGTTTTGACAGAGGGCTCCAGAGCCAGAGGACTGATGGCAAGACTCTTCTCGGGAGTTCTCGCCCCCTCGGTGTTAACGTCACTGAGACTGAACGCCCTAGCTCTCTTCTGAACCTTCAGATGATTGATCTGTCTCTGTAAAAGAGCAGCTCGCCACCGGGGCACAGCCCTGGAGGCAGAGGGTGTTCCAGAACCCGGAGGAGTATCCAGTTGGGCAGGTCTCAGGGAAAATCGACGATTGCCAGATGCAACTGGGGAGGAGGAGCCCGGGGCGCCCTCCATCTGGACGAGTGGCTCTTTGGGGCTTTCAAAAGGCGAGTCCGGGGTGTAGGCAGGTGGTGGATCATTTGAGAATTGTCTGCTCTGTCCTGAGAGATAAGGAGACGCCTCGGGGGTCGTCCCCAGGGGAGTTGCCACAGGGCGAAGAGAGAATCTTCGAGTTCTCACTTTAACACCTGGTGCCACAGTGCTGTGACGACTGTAACTGGGAGTTGAGGTACCAGAGGATTCTGGCCTCAGTGAGAATCTCCTCCCTGTGGGATCTGATTGCACAGTAGTCTGATTACTCTGGGGTAGGGAACCTGGTGGAGAGAAGAGGGTCAACAAGCTGGGGAGCTTGGGAGGCGTCAGGGAGGCCGTTCCCATCTTTCGTTGGGGCTTTTTCACGTAATCCTCTGGCACTGCCCCCACTCTCGTGTGCAGGGCTGTCAGTGCCCGCAGGAAATCCGCCAGAGACGTCTCCTCTAGGAGATTACTACCCTCCAGGGACGACGGGAGGTTCGCCCCCGTGTGAGTAAAATACGTGGAGGAGGACGGCAGGGGATTCATGTTTGATAGATAATTCTCGTCATCTGCATCGAGCTCTCCCGCTGAAACTGAATTACGCGCCCTCGATTCCCTCTTCGTCGACAATTGCTTTATCCATTTTGGTAAGGGAACGGATTTCGATAGCGCTGGGAAAATAGATTTCGATTCTTTCTCCTTCTCTCGCTCTTTCTTCGTCTTCGCGTCGTCTCGACGCGCTTTGATGAGCTCCTGGATCTTCCTCGAGGCCGCAGGACCCGACCACGTCCACTCCTGATTCCTGCAGGTGTTCGGATCGAATCTCGGGTCAAGACGAACCTCACTGGCTGCTCGGGACCGAGGTTTACCGCATGGTGATCTCTCCAGACCAAATCTGCGTGAGGTGCGCTCCGTCGAGAGAATCTCCTTGTCACTGAAACCCTCGACACCTGGACGTCCATCGCACTCTGGTGTCTGCTCGTCGTCGTCGGGGGGTGGTGGGATGTAACCCAAAATATTCACCAAACGTGCGAGGAGCTCCGCTGGTTGGACCATCGCGTGAGTTGCAAATGTCGCGGTTTTGTCGATCCGCTGGAGATCGGTTTCAGAGACTACTCTAGGTACCTGCGGCTCCTGGAGAAAATTATTATCATGACTCCGCTAATTATCTCGTTAAAAAAATTCGATATCATTTCCTATCAGGAATTAATATCTTGGAAGGTAAAATTTCTAGTTAAAACGTGGGAATGAAAAAATTACCAGTGGCACAACTTCACTATTAGCTCTTCTCCTGGGATGTGGTGGAGTAGGTGGTGCAAGTCCTCCATATACGAGTTCTCGAATATCTGGGAAGCTGTTGCTCCTCATCAATTTCGCCGGCGGCATCTCGTAGTCGTACTCATCCACGTAAACCCTCTGTGAGAATAATAAAATTGATTAAAACGAATTGACTGATTGCTCACTCCATCGAGGACGAGTCCTTCATTCAAGATGTTCACCTTGACTTTGGACAGCTGCAGCTCGTTAAACACACGTCTGAGGTAGCCGACCTCCTTGTTGAATTCACTCCATATTCTATTCTGCGTTTGTTTCAAATTCATTGCTAATTTATGCTCGAGACGGACTATCCTCTTGCTTCTCATTCCTCTCGTTATGAAGGCCATTATCATAACGACGTACCCGAGACCGAAGGATATCCATGCTATGAGGAAGGACTTGTACATGATGAAGAAGAAGCCGCTACCTTTTGTGTTGTCTTGACCTGATTCAAATGAAAATTCTATGAAACATTTCCTCGCAGAAGCGCAAAAGGTCCGTCTAATAACGAATGACTTGAAAAAAAATCAAAAAAAAAAACAATTACCCTCACCTTAAATCCACCTTCTCATGCCGGCATTTATCAAATTGAAAATCAGATCGATTAATCATAGAGAACATCACAATCGATATTATCGATTACGAAATGACAAATCGTATCGGTTAAATCAGTTTTTCCCAAAGCGGAAAAAGTGACGTAATTATTTTCCGATTGAATTAATTTTTTTCCCCCAATTAATTCCGCGAATCGCGGGAAAACTCAACTCACCAGCTACATAATCCCCGAATCCAATAGTCGTTAGTGTAACAAAGGCGTAATAAACTGCCTCGTCGTACGACCACTCCTCGTAATAAGAGAATAAAAATGCGGGAAAAAATATGAACATGACGAAACCAGGTGCCAGGTACATGAGAATCTGTACAGCCAGACCAGCTTTTCGATTCTCCAGGGGAGTTAATTTTTTCTTGCACTCATCCTGGTGATGCTGCTTGTAGGACTTGTACTTCTGATGGGCCCTGATGAAGACACCGGAGAAGAACTCACCCAATTGCGCCAGAAGAATTCCATTCATGGGAATTCCAATGAGACCGTAAAAAATCATGAGAATTCTCCCGAGGGAATTCGTTGGAGCCAAATTCCCGTACCCTAAAGGGAAAAATAGAAGATGAAGGGAACAAGGAAAGGGACTGATTCGAGAAATCCTTTGGGGGATTCATATAATTTTTATTTACCGATTGTACTGACGACGGTGTACGCGAAATAAAAACTGTTGTAGAAGTCCCATTTCAGGGGCACCTCTTCGGTTTCGGTGTAATTGTAGACGGATTTACCGCAGTAGTCTGTGAGTTTCTTCAGGATTACATCATGTTGGGCTTCGGAGGATTCTGGCATGTAGTGAGCATGAAGAAGACCTGCGAAAAGAATCGGTTTCAATCGGAAAAAAATCCCCCGAAAGAATAAAAAATCGTAACTGTCATAATTATTACGAGGAGAGGAAATTATTTCACGTGGAAAAGATTGAGCCACATTAGAATATATTCAATTGTCGACAATTATCATCAAATGTTCCATGAACATTCCATGAACATTCCATGAACATTCCATGAACATTCCATGAACTTTTGGTACTTTTAGAACACTCGGAATTCTTGATCCCCCCAGGAATCCAGCGATTTCTTGGGAATTCCTTCAATTTTCTTCCACTTTTTCACTGTTATTCCTGTCATACTTCATTGTATCGTGGGAGAGACCAGTCGCAAGAGATCTCCCAACCAATTGAACTATTTAACTTGACATTGTTTAATGACTGACGTATCAAGATCCCTCAATTCAATCCTCAAATAAACGTTTCATCACGACTCAAAATAATGAATCCGCAATTCGGGAGTTCGACGACCCATTTTTCAATGACCGATAAAAAAAAAACACACGTTGCGCACTGACAATTATTTATTTATTCAATCTGGATAAATCGTGAGGTGACGATCCTAGATTATTGAGTCCTCCGGTGTTTTATTTGCAAAATAATTTTATGCGCAATAAAATAGTCGTTTGTAGTCACTCCTCGGTGTCTCCACGAAATTAAATCCGGGGAGGATATTTTTTTATCTTTTAATTATGTTACTTGGGGGATTTGCTTGATTGTTTAATGAGACTTTCTATTGGAAAATGAGGGAATTAAGCGGTTGAACCATTGAAAAAAACCACGGGAGGCCCTTGGACACATTCCGTCGACATTGTAACCGACGATGTCGGGTCACAATGCCCAGACCTTCCTCTCGCACATCGCGATCATGAGACACTCCTCTGCATACAAAAAAATTCACGATCGCTATTTATTCCATCACTACGCATTTGTCCGTTCCTTGTCCCACTGGAAATAAAAAAGAGTACAGGCCTCGAGTAATCACGCCCGATTTCGTAGTAATCGTAACGATAAAAGAGCGATTAGATTTTATCAATATGATGTATCGAAATTGTCGATCGAAAGATTTTTCTCTCACTTATTTTCCTATTGGGTGTCATTGGAATTGTTATTGATACGATTATTTTATCGGCCACGATTTTACATGAATTGATGATTTCATCGACAGATTTAAACCGAGAATTTTCTATTTCTACAGTAATTTCGAAAAAAAAGACCACGAAATTCTCTGTCATTTAGTTTGTCAGTGATAAACCGGGGTTTATCTCCGAATTAAGTTCATTAGTGTCAATATTCGGAATAGATTCGACGTATGTACTCCGGGTAAACAAAGTTCAACGAACAATTCTGATAATTTCGATGTTGAAAAAAAAATCTGTACCGTAGATTTCCATGCGCTCCATCCTGGCCGCCTGGACCTTCTCAATCTCCAATCTGCTCTCAATGTGATAAAATATCGAGGCACCAAGAAGAAGATAGGTCAGGAACAGCATCAGCAGCACCATCCACTGCTTCTTCGACATGTTGTCACAGATAATTATTCACTATCCAGAATAAATTTGAAGGACCACCGTAATCCAGCAACGAGGGAATCACCCCGATTGTCACATAAAAATCGTCACGAAGTCATTGGATTGAACTTTTTATGTCCGATGGCAATCGTCAACTCGTGTCTTCGAGTCCGACTGATGTCCGACGATTGCGGATCTTCATGAAAACCCGTGTGTCTCCCTTTTAACCAGCACCCACTTGTCTTTCTTGCTGACCCCCTCTCCCATATTTTTTTACTGACTCTTTTATCATGGTATTATCTTTTTTGGATGATTACAGCCCCCCGAGATCTTCAGTAACTCAATCAGATGCAGTCCTTTCCAGTATTTTTAACACCTGAATTTCAAGAATTCATCAAACAATTCATCAATCACTTCTCCACTCGTCGCTCCACCGAGACCCATAAATCGTCCTATTTCATTGATTTCTAAATTGTTCAATGAATTCTTACGATGATAATTAAATTTACATTTCGTCCATTAACACCTGAAGTCTATAAATAGATGATTCAATATTATAATTGCGTGGCAGTTATGAATATCAATCAGACCTGATGCTCGTTCATGTGGAGATCGCAACTGAGTGCAATTAAAACCCTCCAATCAATTCGTGTGATCAATCGCATTGAGAACTTCCTCATCAATTGAGTGATTGAACAAAATATAAATAACTGGAATATACAGAAAGAACTAATTCTCCAATTTTTATATCGCGAAATCTAACGGCGATCTTTCTTCCTCGATTTAAAAAAATCTGGTGTCTTCATTAGAAATTCCAGGGATTCCCAATCTCGAGAATTCTTCAATGAACTTCCCTAACAATTCCGTGTGACGCAGAAGAACTTGATTTATTCCGTGCAAAAATAGTCGAAACAATTATTCAATTATACCATTGAAGATGACATTCAGACATGCGTCGAAAGCCCCAAGAGTTTTGAAAACTCGTGATAAGAGCCACTGCTTGGTATTTTTCTATTGATCATTGAATGACGGTCGCACGACTATTGTCACTGTTGTCATTGACATGACAATGAAAATACGATGACAAAAGTCATCCACAAATATGTGCTAATGTTTGCGCAACCTGGGTGTAAGACGTGTCCGTCGCTCCGACGGTTTTCGCCTGTGAGTCGATGGATAAACGATCGGTGAGCAATTTTATTTGAGGTGGTGATGATTGATATCTCTGTTTACGTATTTCACCTATTGTCGGGAGAAAAATGGGAGGAAATAAATGGCATCTAGGAGGAATCTCGATCACGTGGAGATGGACCTCGAGATGGTCGAGGCCATGACGCGTTGGCACCTCGATCCTGTTTACCTCGAGTCTACTCGTGTGTAATCAGTCCATTTGTAACAATCCGACGAAATTTGCACCGACCAACAATTCGGCACAAGTTTTACTGCAGTGAAAAAAAAAATCATCAGAAATTACGAGAAATTGTCGTAAGTTGGTCCAGTGTAAATGAGAAGAACAATTTTTTTAATCGGACGATTGGAAATTTTCCAGACATTTCCGTCCACTTATTGCTGCAGCCGATAGGATCAATCAGATATCATCAGATGTCCTCGACGGGCAGCCACTCAAGAGTCGCTCGTGTATTTCGAAAAATTCACCAAAAGTGTTAAATCGAAACCGTCAGTAATTCCTATAACCCACTTACTAATAAATTCTGTCACTATTTCTTTTATATAGTAACACAGCCGGCAATGGATTCGACCCTTCCCTCATAGTTTGATCAACAAACAGAAGATAAAGGTCTGCGTCGTTGAACAATCCGTGTCTATTCAACGATAAAACCGTACAAATCGTTCCTTTATACTCGGTTAAAGCGAGTTGATGTTGCATTGAGCTGCTCTGCTGCCCCCATTAGATTAATTTACATTAATTTAGCTAATTGTTTACTGAGTGAGAACTCGACTGGTAACTTGCACGAGTCGCATTGTATTTTTTTAAACGAATTCCTGGGAATTTCGCTTTATCGGTTATTATTTCGCGATGTTGAGGATCGATCTGTGTAACTCCAGGTCACTCTCGTTGCTTATCTTCTTCATACACTCCCAGTGGTCCCCGAGATAGGAGGAAAGCATGGAGTTGGTTAAAAGTTTAAATCAATTCATAATCCACGGCTGGATAATTATTTCGGAATTAATTCAGCAAAATTCTAATTAAATATCGAGTATTTCCAGTTTTATCGGAATTTCTTCTCCCATTTCTGCATTGCTTCATGTCATTTATTGAAATGCCGGGAGATTTATTTCAAGTGAATGGATTAAAGTTTTTACAATTTTTTATGCGCCATTCGGATTCTTTTGTCATTTTACTGTGATAAATGGTGTTTAAGTTAATTGATTAAATTGGCATTTCGATTTTTACAGCACTAATTTTTATCCTCGATTACAATGGAATACTTCAAGTGATCGATAGTTTATCGCCGATTCTATTATTTATTTCTACGATTTCTTGTGTCGAGTGCCACTTTCTGGGAGTTTATCTCGAATAAATAGTCAATCACGATTAATGGGAATAAATAATATCGGATTTTCTTAAAGTGTCTGGAACTTTTTATTTCACTCGTGGAAAATTGATCTAGTTTGACATCTGCTCGGTCATAGACTGATTTTTAAATGGAAGAGGTGGCGAATGACGAGGATGGGCCAGAAGGTCTTCCGGATCATGGTGGGAGGACAAATCGCTGCGAACCGGAAATATCGGTCCAATTATCGATTGAAAGGTCTCGAGGCTGCACTTGAAATCCTTTTCCGTTTTTCCGATCGATTTATCTCGGTTGTTCGTATTTTTTTTTTGCAATACCCCACCTTTTGTTGGAGCAACAATAGAAAATTTATCGCGTGGTAAATTAATTTGTGATGTATCGCGGTTTTGGAATTCATTTCGATGGAAATAACGGGAGGTTCAGATATTTTAACAGCGTCGTAAAGTTATTACTCGTTTCACCTCAATTTTTGTGGTTTTGAGCGATGATTAATACTCTACCAATACCTGTTAGTTCCTTTGACAAATAATTTCTAAATCATTTGAGTGTTCAGGGATCATCCAGTTCTGAGAACTCCCTGGTAGTTTAGATTAGGCCGAAAAATATATTGGTGGATATTTAATAATTGCGTGACTATCGCAACTGTTTACACGTCGATGAGTGGAAAAAGGAAAGAATAAAAAGGAATTATCTATGACGAATTAAGACATCACTTCGTATCTAAAATCATTTTTTTTTCAAGTTTATTATGTCATACAATAAAATATCTTATCTCCGATCTCATGGCTATCAACTTATAATATAATTATTTGTCTGTTAGGTATGATCAATTCCATCCAAATTCCATTCCATCGATCTTTACGTTGAGTCCTAGTGATGTGTCGATTGAAGGATCATCGAAAGTCTCCTCCAACCCCATTTGCTGAAATAAATAAGTGCCATTTATTCCGAAACCTCTGAACACTTGTTAATTTTTCATTGAAACCCACGCAATTGTACCTGAAGTGCCACCAATTGTTTTGGATCCCCAACCAGTAGAATTTGGGTTTCACTGTCAGATGATTCTTCAGTGGCCTCTGACATTTCCACATGAGCACCTTTGCTTATCATAATTTTCTACGATAAAAAAAAAAACAAAATGGATATTGTAGTTACGAGAAATGAATATTCAGTAATCTGGACCTACATTTTGTCTACTCCTTTTTCTCTTGACTCTGCCCAGCCCCACCTCACCCCCGTCCAAAAAAACATCGCCCCCCTCGTCGCTGTCCACCAGAGCATGAGTTGTCCTTTTGTGCATGACGAGTGTGCCATGCTGTCTGTAACTTTTATGACACAACTTGCACTCGAATGGCTTAGCTGGTGTGTGCACCAGCCGATGCTTGTAAAGACTAGAATACTCAGTGAAGGACTTTCCACAATTCTCCACCATGCAGGTGTACGGTTTCTCTCTCGAGTGTATCCTCATATGATTTTTGTAATTCGTCGCACTAGCGAAGGACTTCTCGCATATTTCGCAGGGATAGGGACGCTCTCCCGTGTGAGTCCTGATGTGAACTTTTCTAATGTTGCTGGTGGTGAAGGCCCTGTCGCATCCCTCGAAGGGACAGGGGAACGGCCTCTCACCAGTGTGAGTTCTCATATGCTTCAGGAGATCCCCTGACGTTTTAAAACTCTTCTCGCAGGCTGTGGCAGTGCATTTGTACGGTTTTTCACCTGTGTGAGTCCTCTGGTGGGCCTTCAAACTGTATCCTGTCAAAAAGCTCTTATTGCACCTGGGAAATTCACACTCGTACGGTCTCAGTCCTGTGTGCGATCTCTCGTGAACTTTCAGGTGATGGGGAGTCGTGTAGACTTTGCTGCAGCCCTCTCGAGGGCATGCATACTTGATTTTTATTTCTGACTCCCCTGAGAAGAGCTTTGAATCTTTTTTCTTCGTTTTCGGGGGTTCAGAGTCTAGTCTACTCGTCACCATGTAGGCACTGCCGTTTATTATCTGGATTTGAGCGTATGTTGTGTCTGAGGAGTTTGAAGTGCTGGGCTCAGACTGAAGGACCACTGGGTCCACCTCCAGGTGAACCATTCTACCTTCAAGACCTGCCACGTCCCGTATTACTATTGAATGCGAGAGATCCTCGTCTTCTTTGTAATCTAGGTCTGATTTTTTTTCTAGTTAGTCATGTCCAGGGGGTGTTTCTATGGATTTTTACCTGGACTTGAAGAGTGGCTCGCCACGAAGGCTTGAGTTCCATCGGGAAATGTCACTGCGGTTAATGTAGCCCCTAGTAATTCGTGGTCCTCTAAAATCACTCCCTGGAGGGCCGTTCCGTCTCCATCGTTGATTACCACTGGCAGAGTGTCAGGATCGTCCTGAAGGCATTCATAAAATATTGTCGATTCATTTACTGGGGAATTAAATTCACCGAAACACTCACCGTCAGCTCTTCCAGGAGAGTGAAATGATCTTCTCTATCTGGAGAATTTTCCTGAGTTTCTGCATCTTCTAATGACATATTATTTCCCTTGAAAAACCTGCAATGACCGATTGCTCGATTTCAAAATGTAAATATTGACATATCCGAGAATTTTGAGGTTATCTCTGGAATTTGTTATAAATAATAACTATTGCATTTCGCAGAGGAGGGAATACCACCACAAATATATGATTTGACAATTCCGGAGATGATTTTCAAACGATTTTAACAATTTTCATATTGACAGAAAAGTGCATCAATGTCAAAAATTGCAATAGCATCTAGACAACGCCATTTTCATTGTTAAACATCATCAACAATGATGAAAAATCACTCACAATCACCGGTCTTGATGTCTTCGGTGGTGAACACTTGTTGAACTTGTCTGCATTCAAAATATCATGTTCCGAAAATAATTGTTTTTTATTTTCGTACCAATTCACCAAAGAATCTTGGGAAATATTACCCATAAACTCATCTGCGTCAATCCAACAAGCGCAAAGACAAATGCGCATGCGTGAGAGCTCGGAACATTTCGAGAGGATTTCGGAAAACCCGGAAAACCAAATGACAATTCAATTCCCATTTTTCCCAGACTCGGATTAATTTCCCAAAGATTTTCCTTGAATTGAAGGACTCACCCAGAAAATCCCATTAAAATTCCAAATATTTATTTATCAGAAAAAATCAATATCAATTTATAATTTGATAATAATAAAAACGGAATCGATTTCTTCTTTTTTATTTATTATATTATATAACAACCATTTTTTTATTTAAATAGGGGTACAATTACGAATTATCCTGACAGATTTGATTCCCCTAGTTTCGTCATTACCACAAAGTGGGGTACATCCGAAGAAGGGGGATGGAGTGCTGGATTCATGGATCACGACATTCTCCAGGCACGTCTAATCTGGATCAGTACCTGACCGCGTGTGTCCGTGACACCTCCACAATATTCTAAATTTCAAATTAATCCGATCCTCCAAATAAATTCCCGATACACTGCAATCCCTCAATTAATCCAATTAATTGATTCGTTAGTGAAAACTCTCAATTCCGTCGACAGGTGATTTTATTCCTCTTGATTGATCAACAAGCAGAATGCTCATGGTAAGTTAATTAATTCTCAATCGACATGAAAACTAATTCGATTGAATGAATCGATGAATTATTTTTCAAATCAAACGACTAAAATTTATCAAAATATATTTTTAAAAATTGAAAAGATAAATTTATTTCTCCTTTCTTCTCTGAAACACTGGAGTCATGTGATTGCCTACGCATCCGCATCTCATTGAAACATTTATTACAAACATTACTCGTCTTTCTTCTCTTCACTTTTATTTTTTCTTTTTTGTTTTATACTTTCGCAAAAATTCACCAGTCTTGCATAATGATTTCTGCACATGTAAGACGTTCGCCTCCGCCTCTTGTTCTTGGGCCTTCCTTTTATACCATTAACTGTCGACAGTAACAACAGTAGACGCTTAGAAAACCACTCACGTGGTTGCTTTTATGGATAACAGCATTTTTGACGCTTTTGTATCCTTTCGCAATCTGACTATTTTCACCTTTTACACTTTTAATTCCGAAGTACAACCATATACGCTCACACTATCTTCCCACCGTGCGAAAATAATAATCGAAATCTCCCATTATAAAAAATAAAATGTACACTCGACCGAAATAAATCGTGAACTCTTCTACGAATAAATAAAAATTACATATCAATTCAATTGAATTTTTAAAGAATAAATTGATCGCCTCAATTTTCAATTCACTCCTGAATTAATTACACAATCATGTACCTGTGGTAAAACAACAAGTTCCTACGAATGTGGGAATGTAACTCCATGGATTAATTAGAGACTCATATGAAAATGATCCCCCAATGAGAGAGACAGGACGAATCACCACAGGTAGATGTAAAAAATTATTAACGGCTTGATCTCGTTAGAGAAGATGAAAGTACCCAGGGGAACGGTCACGTAGGTGCTACTGCAGGTATATTTAAGGTTGAATTGAGTGATGGATGTACAAGATTTAATGGGAGAGGGCCCATAAACTTGGGCCACATGATATGCTATTGCACCTAGTTGTTTTGTGCGGAGGCTTCAGGATGCGGTCGCACGCGCTCCGAGATATAAAGTCCCGTGACTTGGCATTACCCAACTACTGGTTTCAATAAATTTTAAACCCGTCTCTTTTACCCACTCACGAGATCAAATCCCAGTTGTAAGGCCCAAACTCAAAGCACTGAGTCACGTGGATGAAGTCTCCAGGCGCAATTTGCGACTTCGTAATTTTCCTTTGAATTTTCCAACATCAAATTTCAAATATTCAATTCGAGAACATTTTTTTTATGAATGAAAATTCATTCCCACGCAATTTTCACGATTTCACGATACAACTCATCGCTTTGGAAATATCGATTAATAACAGTCTGGTGTGGAATTTATACGCTCAAGGGAGCGATTTCATGATCTCAATGGACGAGATTGAGAATTATTGAGAGAGGAATTATTCTCACGCGATTTATCAATATTTTTTATTCCCTCCAGTTAAAAATTCTTGGTTTACTGATTACCGGGGCTGCAACCACGTGCGCAGCTCCAATTACTACTGTGCACGTTAAATTTGTATCGCCACCGCATTATCACGAGCACGAGCTCACGACAGACGGTGAGTAATTCCGTAAAAAATAAAATGAATGCCTGATTTTTCCAAAATCGGTAATTTTTTCTATGATTCCAGGAGGAAATACAGTAGTTCAAAAGAATTTTCTCAGCATTGGAAGACCATTTCCTCTATTCGGTAAAAATATAAGAATCGAATAGAATATAATTGAATAGACAATTAAATTCCGAGTAATTACACTTTTCATTTGATCTGACTTCAGGCGATAGATTAGCAGGAGCATTCAGAACATCTAGAGTGATAACTCCAGAGAACGCCGAGTCCCTGTGGCCGGTGGGTGTATTTTTGCCTCCCCAGGACACGAACGACCTGAGCTCTCAAGACGCCCATCAAACCCCAGACTTCTCCAACGGCCTAGGTAAATTCCAGCCATTACCTCGCCACTGAAGACTCCATTAAATAAATCTTCCAGCTCACCCTGATCCACTTCTCCTGACTGGCGAAGCCGCAATGATAGCTGTCAGATATCTCTACGGCCACGGTGAGCTGTTCTTCCACGAAATTCCCCACGTGCGGGCCATCCTGAGGAACCAAGAGGAGAGACGTCTCAACCGACTCCAGGAGAACATCCTGAAGAGCCCCAGGCCAGCATCTCCCTTCTACAGCAACAATTGACACTGAGACTGAACTAAATGACCATAAAAATCCGAGTAATCTCTCAAAACTTGTGATTAACGAAAATCAATTACTGTGACATTTACGGCTATTTTAATGAGAACGACCATCGGCACTCACGCTTTATTCCCCAGAGATACAATGTCAGGTTATTTGTACTTGCATTATCCATCATTCTACTATTTACATTAAAATATACAGTCTTTTGTCCATCACCGGAGTGCAACGAGGCTCATTACGAATACAAATAATCCAGAAATGCTGAGGGAATTGGCGGTGTTGCACAAGTCACCATTGCAGAAGCACATCCACACTTTCTTGGAATTTTTTATTGTGTAGGCACATCTCTCCTCACCATCGCCCGGTCCTCGTTGGAGGCACATTCTTTGCGTTGCTGTACCGTATTCTGGGTAAAGGGTGGAATTAACATTTTAACATGTGGAAATTTATTTAAATAATCGGGTACTCGGAGGGAATTGAAGTTATCAGTTACCATTATTCAAATTAGGTGATTCTATCACTTTTCCACACCATCCTGACGCACATGGTACAACATCAACACCGGGCTCACTCTCAATCATCGTAGCATTCATTGTGAAAGGATCCTTGCACGAGCCCAACTCCCCCCTAGATCGACAATCGACGCATCTCCGGAGTAAACCTGAAAGGTCACGTTGTTATATGTAAGGAGGAAAATCTAGACATTAACGCAACAGGTTTTATCATTAATTAATTGTTCAATTCTACCTTGGGAATTCGATAATTAAACTTGAGGAAAATCTAGAAGCGTGAAGAATTACCACAAACGAATCGTTTCCTCGTCTCGGAAATATCCGGAACAAGAGTAAAAAATTGAGCGTCAATTAAAAAAAATAATAAAGTCGATAGTCCTCTTATTTTTGTTTGGAATTTCAATTATTCATTTAGAATATGGGAAATTATAACGGTTCCGTTGCGGGGCAGTGGTAACAGGTTGCAGATCATGTTAAAGTGAAAGTGAAAAAAATGACTCACCATCGACGCGTATTCCTGAATAACTGAGGACCAGTAAAACCCAGAAGATCCACTTGCTCTCCATCGTCTAGGGGATTGATACAATATCGATTTTGTTAATCGTTGAATGGAATTTTGACAAGTGCTAGCCATTCAGCGCACAGCCATGTTGAAGTGCCTACTGAGCCTTCCTTCTTCAGAAACCGGACATACAAGCCTCTGGGGCCTTTCACTTTGTCTCTCGGTGTTAAGGTCGTTGCACACTGGGAAAATCGTTTTTTAACATTTTTTCACACCTCTTAAATGCCTCGCGCGTTAATGGCAATCGGGTATAGCAAATTGTGGAATTAATTAATTACCTTCTCGTCAATCTTCCGCCTCGTCGATGGGCCGCTTTATTGTGAATCTATTCTTCTGTCTGCAGGCGATTACGAGTCCCCCACAGTAACAGAAAGACGTCAGGAGGAAAATAAAACCAAGGTACCCCATGTGACGGAAAAATGCTGGAAAAACGAAATTATTAATTAAAACAGAAATAAATATTTAAAAAAATTGGAATTGAAATGATTTCTTTAGAAAAATTCAATTAGAGGAACACGTATAATAATTAAACTCGAGATTAGTTTCGATTTATTCAATTCCGAATGAATAAAATTATTAAAATTCAATAATTGTTTAAAAGGCGCGTATATTTGTAACTTGAGCGCATATTTAATGAATGACTCAGCCGCAACGAATGATTAGTTCGTGGAACGCACCTAGATGGCTTTGACCCATAAATCGCACCCGTATGTTCATTCGGTTTCCCCAAGTGGTTGAGAACTACAGAATTTAGTATATATGAAAGAAATAGAAATCATTATGTTGTACTTGCTTCGGCAGTACATATACTAAAATTGGAACGATACAGAGAAGATTAGCATGGCCCCTGCGCAAGGATGACACGCAAAATCGTGAAGCGTTCCACATTTTTTTGGATTATTCACAATTAAATTGAGTAAATAAATAATTTTTTATGGATTCTAATTAAATTGAATTGGATTGAATTGGATTGGAGGTAATCACCTTGCGTTAATAATCGAGTTTTAGAAACAACTCTGATTTTGACCTGCATCATCCTGACATCACCAACATAACAAGTATAATTTCCCTCTTCCTGATTGGATACTCCAATTAAATAAAGCGTGGAGAATGTATCAACGAGTACTCTGGCCTCTGCGTCCTTTTTTCTGAAGGATCTGCCAGTCCCCTTCTTCAGGACTGTGGAGTCCTTCCTCCAGGTAACTTGTGACTCCATGGAGCTCTCTGGACATACCAGAGCTAGATGAGCACCATCGGCCAGAGTGTACCTCTTCTTGTATTTGAATTTACCCTTCTTGACTTTTTTTTCTCTCGGACACTTCTTGCATTTCTCCTCGAGGAAAAATTCTGGAAGGAACTTGGTTGCACTGCTGATGGCTGGAAACTCGGAATCGAGGGTCAAGGACTTGCAAGGGATGAGGGGAGACTTGGAAAAGAATTTTATTATGTGCTCTGCATCTTCCGTCAACATTGTCTGGAACATATCTTTTTTAATCTCACAATAGCGAGGGGTCTGGAGGGTTTAAGAGATTTATTTACTCGATTTTCTATCAATCTTTTTATTCTACATTGTCCTCTACTCGTTCTAAACCCTTTCTTCCCTCTACATCTTTCACAAGGACTCCAAACACTCCATTCAGAGACTATTTCGAGGGTGACACCAGCAGCACGAATCTGAGCTAATTCCTTCATTCTGGAAACCTAACACGTGAATTTTATTGTACCGGGATTTTATACAGATGAAATACTGGAGAACTTTTTATTCATTAATTCGTCGATTACAGCTAGACGAAGTGTCACAGGCATCAGATTGACCTCCCTGTACTTCTCCCAATCAGACATATTGCCTTTAGTAGCTCCAATATCGAGGACGTCCTTGAAAATGGCTAAAAAAAAATTCCATCAAGATCTCTTGATTGTTTGGATAGCAGGACCTGCTTCAGAAGTATGTGAGCTCACGTTCAATCCTGTAATTAAATTTATTCTCCATGTTCTGGCCCAGTGGGCCATGACATCTATAAATCCCAGCATCTTTGAGCTCGAAGTCTTTGATAATTAAATTCAATTCTGGCGTCAAGTGGATTCGGTTAGAAGACATGTTATTGCTCATACCCAAGTCAACTTCCCGCTCCTCTTTCTCCTGGAGTCGATCCTGGAAGTACCACATCCTGGGCTGATCATCACTGGGTTCATTGCTATCAGGGCAACCATTTAAATAATCCTCTCCATCATGCCTGGATCATCACTTACCAAAAATGACACTCAAGCCCCAGAGTCGAATTCAATTCAGCATCAACGAGAAGATACTCATCAAGCTCATCAGAAGTTATTAATCTGTCTTTATCCCTACAATATTTACTCAGCTCTATCTGAGCATCGAATCCGAAAGCAATAAAAAAATTCCAGAAAATCACAATTGCAAAAAAAAAAATCATTCTCATGAAAAAAATACAATTCCAGCAATTAATCTCTCAAATGAAATAATGAAACGAATAATCTAAAACGCATAGATTAATGATAGATTACAGATTGAGTCTCGAGTGAAATTGAATTTCTCGCTTTTCTATTTTCATTGTGAGTTCGAAGATATCCGCCATTTTGTGAATGAACAGGGGAACGGAACGGGAACAGATGAGGGCGGGGGTTGGGGTGAGGGGAAATTACGAGAACTCACGAGAACAACCGATTTCAAATGGAGGCGCTTCCGCGTAAACTGCTTTACCCACAATGCACCAGTAAAGGGCAACATGGCGGACACGATTGAAAGTGAGTGGAATTATTCACGTAATTATCCCTAGTTTTAAGTTAATTAAGATGGAAAAAATTACGAAGAATGTTAACGCTCCTCGTACGCGATACCGATGGTCATCGACTAGTCAAAAAACATCGGCTCCAGGAGCACTTTTATATCCGATATCAGCGATTGAACGAGCCCCGTACGTGGCTGGTTCAAAATTTCAAAAATCACCAATGCACAATTCAAGCGGGACGACTGACACGATTATTTTCACAAAAACTTCTATTTTCAGCGTTTATTTGTCAATTATGGAAATGATTGATTGGGTTTTGGGGTTTTTTTTGGGGGGAGGTCGGGGTTGTGATGGGGTTTTGATGATTTTGTTGAAGATTCGAGTTGGACGCGCGCGTTGGTGTTTACTTCGGGTTGGGACGGTGAAATAGCAGCTTGGTTAGGTCGCGAGATTTTTTTTTTTTTCACCAAAAAAATTCGGGTTTAGAGATTTGTCGGGTTCAGGGCGAATATGAAATGTTTGTTGCCGAGATTTCGTGTCTGTGTTTCATTTGTTTCTGGAGGTGACGATTTGTGAATGGCTCTTGATACTTAACATCGAGTTCTGTTTGAAAATGCATTTGTACGTTTGAAAAATTTCGAGTGGCCATGGGTAAACCGATTTTTCTTTTGAATTTTTGAATTTTTTTTTCGCCTCCTTCGATTCATTGAATTCACAGATTACCCACGAGTTTTTATTTTTTAATGATTTGAGAAGATTCTGCAGGAGATGAAGCGTTTTATTTATTGATAAAATTAATTGTTCAAATGGTAGTAAATTGGGTTTTGATGATGTACTTGTGCAGACGAGTCAGCTGAAACCTTGCTAACCATGAAAAACGGTGGCTATCCGTCATTGGACGAGATAAAAACGGAGATTGATGAGGATTCAATGGATATTGACCACAACAACTCCTTCGAGATGGAGACTGAGGATTCAGAACCGATGCCAGAGCTGGGACCTGCTGCTCTAGGTCTTCAGAGAGTGGGAACTAAACCACCTCCAAAGAAGCAGAATCCTCCTCAACCAGTACAAGTGCTAAATCGTCGTGGCATGCCGGCGAGAATAAGAAAGAAGAATAAATTATTCTACGATGACATCTTGGTAAATCACCCACACCACAGAATAAAAAAGGAGCCAGGAACAATAGACCTCAAGCCCTCGCCCCGTAAAATTCCACGTCCATCTCCTCCAAAGCGTCAAACCCGCTCCTCCACTGAGCCCAAAAAAATTATTCCCCAGACACCTCCACCGCCTCCACCACCAAAAACACCCATCAAAATTGAAAAAGAACCGGAGAAGCCCCTGGCCCCAGGTTCACCAGACCGCAAAGTGGGGCAGAAAATAGGAATGCGTCTTCGGAATCTCCTGAAGCTCCCCAAGGCCCACAAATGGGTCTGCTATGAGTGGTTTTACAGTAACCTCGACAAAACCCTCTTCGAAGGTGATAATGACTTCATGATCTGCCTGAAGGAGTCGTTCCCCCAGCTGAAATCACGAAAACTGACGAGAGTCGAGTGGTGCAAGATCAGAAGGATGATGGGCAAGCCCAGGAGATGCTCCCAGTCCTTCTTCGAGGAGGAGAGAAGAGAGTTGGAGCGCAAGAGGCAGAAGATCAGGATGCTCCAGCAGAGAAAAACAGCTGATGCCAACAGCTTTAAAGATCTGCCCCCAGAGATTCCCCTTCAGCTGGTTATTGGCACGAAAGTCACAGCGAGACTGAGAAAGCCCCAGGATGGTCTTTTCACTGGTAGTATCGATGCTGTGGACACGAGCAACAACACCTACAGGATAACCTTCGAGAGAGCGGGTCTGGGTACTCACAGTGTACCTGACTACGAAGTCCTGTCGAACGAACCACCAGAGACAATCAGTGTCGCTTCATTTGCTCAGAAATTCAGGCCCAGGCACGTCCAGTACGTTCCTTCACCTCCCTATGCCTATAAATTGCGTTCACCAAGATCCAACAACGATCCCCTTATCTCAAATGCCGCAGTCTCAGTTCCTAAGAAAAGTCACATTGGTGGGGGCACGATGAATGGATATCCCCTCAAACTCCTCGAGTTCATGGTGAAGGTTAACAAAATTCTTGCGGCTAAAAAAATTAAAATAAAAAAACTCAAAGAGATGAACACTGAAGCTGAGAGAAGAAGATCCTTTGGGGAGTCCCTATCACCTGATTTTGAGAGGAAATACGCTTCCGTTGTCGTGGAGCTGGAGAAAATGAATACTGCTCTCCAGGAGTTCCTCAATGAGGTACAGGATCTCTGCCAGGAGATCGCACCTGAGCCCTCGGTGGCGGCAATGCTGGTGCCCTCCCATTTGAGGGAAAAATGTAGACAGGAAGCTGCTGATATGGTGTCCAGGAATAATATTATCAATGATAAGGCACCTACGAAGATGAATCAGTTGGTCACTGATTTAACTGCTCTTATGCTGCAAGTGAAGGTGATTATTTTCCATCATCAATTATTCATGAAATCATTCTTTTTCCATTCGAGCTATTATCAATTTCGTTTTGTGATATTTTTTTTTCAGTGTTTATCAGATTCAGATCGTAATGCGTACGAGTTGAAAGTTCTCCAGGGGACGATGGATCAAATAAGATCACGACTGAGTCCTCAGAATCAACAGGTGTTTCAAAATTGCGTAGAAATTCACATGCAACACATTCAGCTTGGTTTGGGCCAGACAGGATCACTCACCCCATTCATGGCACCAAAAGCCTAGCAAGAGGAAGACCACAATCACCGATGAAGTACTAAAGATCAGAGTTCAATTATATTGATAAATTGTATAGAAAGAGATTCATTATTATCATGAGGATGATTCTGTCCTTCTCAGGACTAATGAGGCATCACTTTTTTGTACATACAAAATGATGCTTTTGCACTTACGATGGTATAATCACTGTGGAATCTCCACCTTTACTGCCACCTAGAGTTTTTGTTTTTCGTTTCTCATCGAATAGATTTTTTTTTTCCTTTTATTTCTTCTTAATTTTACTGGACTGGCACTTGTTAATGGCGGAATATGAATTTTATTATTCTTTGGGATTCATGGGGGACATACCATGGCTTTGAATTGAGTCTGAATTTCGGAAAAAATATGGAATGAAAATGAAGAGATAATTTATTGCAATTTAAGGAGTTACGGATTAAGTCGCGTTATCATTAGTTTTTAGGATTCAATGAAAAATGAAGTGAAATAACGATATTGTATATGCTTATTATATCATGGAGGAACGTAATATTTTATGTAAATTTAATAACTATTAACGTTTGATTTAAATACATACACATAAAGAATTATGAGGTTTTCTTCTTCCCCATGGTTTGATTTAAAGATCGAATCAAGCATTAATTAAAAAAAATTGTAGATTGAAACTTTTTTCTTTATTATATATACAAGTGCTTACGTAGCGTACAGTTTCATATTTAACCGAATGGTAGTAAAAAATCAAGTTATGTAATAATAATAATTTTCATTACAAAAATTGAATCACCCAAAGTTTTTGATCAATCGAATGAACAGAATTCCACTAATATCGTCACATAGGAATTTTTCTTTCCAAACAAATTAGTTATTGCGAGTGTCATTAAAAATTTTGAAATCCTGACTAACCACGATCTCATAGACTTGCCACTAGTAATTTAACAACTTAAATACTATTCTAGAATTTGATTGATCAAAATTTCGATACTGGCTGATGAGGTACTACCTAATTATTTTTTGTGGCTATCGAGTTGCTCGAGGAGACTGTCAGCATCCTCGCTGGTCTTGACCCTGAAGAGCACTGGAACTGGAGGGGGTTGAGAGTCTGGCAATGGCAAACAGACCAGCATTACAGTATTTTTATTCATCCTCTGGGTGCGAAGTGATTCTGTCAAGAGAGTATTCAGGAGTAGATTCCCCAGGGAATTTTCAGCCCGAACGATTAATTGTGTTTTTCCACTGGGCGTTGGCTTCAAGAAAAGAATTCCTACTCCTCGATCACTGTAGACCTTGTCCTTCTTAAAGAATACTTTGCACCTTTTTTCGTAAATAGCCCCCGCTTCAGTGACTGGTTTGAATTCGACCTTCGGTGGCTCATCCTCGTCTTCATTACCCTCGGCCCCGTCTTTTCCCTCAGAAACCTGTGGAGCCACGACACTGCTACCGAAGGAGAATGGCTTCCCAGAGCCAAAGGTGAAGCTCGCAGAGCTTGTACCAGTGGTTGAGCTCTGACCGAAGCTGAAGGTACCAGTAGTCGTCTGAGGAAATGAGAGAGCTTTCGTCTCCGTCTTCTCTAGCTTCTGCTCCGCAAGTTTATTTGGAGATTCTGTTTTTTTATTTAAGAATGGATTCGCATCACCTCCGAATGCATTTTTTCCCTCAGCATCCTCGAAAATCGACTTTCCAGAGGGTCCAGAACCAAAGATGGATCCTGAGGTGGGAGCAGTCTTCTGGGTGAACACAGAGTCCGAGGAATCAGAGGGATTCTTCGTCGGCATTTCAAACAGTCCAGACTTTGGTGGTTCCTTGGAGGTTTTAGCATCCTCTGATGTCTTTACTGTCTGCTCCTCACGTTTAGCTTCGATCTCCTTGAGGTACCTGTCGTAATCTCTGAAGATTGGAGTCAGGATGCAGAAGGGGTTGGCGTCCACGTGGGTCTTTATCCACTGAGCAACACTCTCGTTCAGACCCTTGAGCTTGGCGAAGTACTCAGAGGACTCCTTGAATATTGTTTCCTTTTTCTCTTGCAATGGCTTCTGCTGGCTTTCCGATGGCTTCTCCAGGTGCATCGAGGGCATTGACGACATGGACAACCCGTTCTCGGGGGTCTGCGCTGAGCCATTGCTGGATGATGTCAGTGAGAACATCGTCGAGGGCTGAGACGAAGGGATTGCAGGCGCTGACTTTGATTTTAGAAAACTGAAGGCTGCTGTTGTGGCTGTTGGCGATGTTTTGAATCCTGCGAATGATCCAAAAGCATTTTTCGTAGCTCCACCTTCACCTCCTCCTAATCTTCTCTTGGCGGTTCTCACAACTCTCTTCTCGAGAATTTCGTGCGATGCTACAGCAAATTTTCCTGCGTCCTCGGGTACGTCCTCACTGTTCCAATTTTCGTGATTCAATTCGGATGTTGCTGTTCGCTTACTTGCCATCACTGCATTAAAAATCAGAATGATATGTTGGAAATGCTCGATGGTACTGGAAAATTCTGAGGTTAGATCTAACCTCAAATTGTTGCTGCCCAGAATTATCGAGGGTAGGCAGTGTTTTGTTTACACTTTTCAGAGATTCTCGTTACCTGAATATGGTATCAATGAAGTTGCGTTGTATTAGTCTCGTTAGATAATTGAATTCACCCTGAATTCTGTTCAATCAAAATATCTGGGGAGTCAGACTGCGCGGGAGAGTGTCACGTTTACAGATGTTTATACAACTTTACCATTCGCCCGCGTTATTTGATTCCGTTGTAATTAATTCCCATAGAGTCAATTGACCTAGATATCTTTTTTCCTGTTTCCATATCATTACTCCATCGAGAGCTATACAGTTTCAAAGAGTTTCTGGAATAATTGTAATTTTTTTGTAACAGAAATAGAGAACTGTATGTTGTATTCAAATAAACCGCCACGAAGCATGCGCAGTAAGTTCGACGCAGTGGATTGCACCTGCGATTTGTTCACATGAAAACGCACCCTTCGGCTCACCGCCGTCAATCCTCTTTGCATGACATTTTGCAGTCCATCCTTTTTTTTACTGAAGGAATAAATAATAGTGCATTCAGAGTAATAATCGTGTTATATTATTTCAGGCCATTTAAAGTTGAATTCCAGTGATGGATACATCAATGAAGAATGGATTCCCCTCTGAATACAATGATAATGTTCTACTTACATCAGAAGATCTCGACAATAAGCGGATTGCAGAGGCTATGGTAGGGTACCTCTGAATTTTCCTCTTCCCAACATCCCACTCTTGTATGAATTGCAAAAATATTGCAATGTACCCATGATTTTTTCCAGAATTTACAATTAACTCCTCAAGAACTGAAAATTCTGAAAGAGTGCCAACACAATGCTGTATATCACAGAGGCCTTCCTCTGGGTGCAGTGACCGGTGGTAGTCTTTACTATTTTATGAAAACCGGAAAAATTCCCCGGTATCCCTTGTTGTGGTTTGGATCTTCGATAATGGGATTTTTAGTGGGAACAATGTCTTACCGATCGATTTGCATGGAGAAATTATTGGCTCTTCCTGAGAGTACTTTGAAGGAGAGGATTTTGCAGGCCCAGGGCAAACAGCCACGAGTCAAGTACGACCCTGAAGTCATTACAAAATCCTAATCAGTCCCCGTCTAACCTTATTAATACACGTTTTAGGGTCGAAGTCCCTCTTCAGGATAGCAGTTCCTGGTTTGATAGTATGTTGCCTACTGACTCTGGTCCGATGACATCATCCCTTGATTTTGATACACACCAGTCCAATGGGTTCGAGGATGCACCAAGAGGTCAAAATGATTTAGGTGAATTACTCGGTTGAATAAAATTATTTTTATTGTAATTTTATTGTAACCCTAGGAAATCCCTTTCCAGATACTCATTATGCGCTAGATCCACCTCTACCTCCAGCGACTTCTGCTTTCATAACTTTCGATGATCTTCGACGTGAAAATCGTGAGCAATACCAGCGCACTCAGAGCCAGCAATCATCGACGACGAGGTTCTCACATTAATTTATAATGTATTAATAAAATTATTAATTCATTCATGCTTTCAGGAGATCTCCGACGGCCCCAGGAAACCCACCCCAACAATATCCAGAATCCAGATCTAGTCCAAGTGGATATTATGATGCACCAGCTCGTCCAGCCAGTGATGACTTTCTCCGTTGAATTGCAATAAGTGCACTAGTTTTTTTCGCTCTATTTGCTCCAAAGTACAATTGTCTATTACTGAATAAAAAAATGCAGTTATGAATGCGGCACGGAGCAAATGATAGAGTTTATTGTATACATTTATGAAATTTTTTTTATTCTCAAATTCATTAACTTTTGGGTGTACCCAGGAATAAAGATGATTTTATTATTTACAATTCAAGGATTAAATGAACTGTAGCACCATTCAATGATGCAAGGTACAAAAATCCTTGCGATATAAAAATCATTTGGCTCAATAAAAATATTAGTTTGACATAACTATCGATTTTAATTCAACAAGAACGTATTTTCTTTAAATTAAAAAAATATTACAGACTGAAAGGTTAAAAAAAAAATCATTTTCCACCGCAATCTCTATAATGAGCAACATATTTCTCAATCAACGTTTTGAAATTTATATAAATCTGCATAGTCCTCTCTTTATTTCGTAATTGTATTGACAATTTCCTCGATAATCCCAGATAATAATGAATTATTGTCTCCCTTGCCCTCAATTGAAAGACTTGAAGATGCGTCTGATGATTTCTGAAAGGTGAGAAATTGGTGGTAAATAGAGATAAATTTTTTACTGCAATTACTACTCACCTTTTTGAATAAAAGGCACACGTGATGACCCATCAACGAATTACCGTATAGAGATGCTGCATCATCAACCTGCTCTACGAGGGTTAAATTACACCTCTGACAAACCATTTCCACAATTTGGCCAAGATTTAGGGAAATGTCGACATTATTTTTCGTTTTAAATTGCAACATATCGCTGCCAAGTAATTCCGTCAGAATATCACCGTGCGGTAAATTTCCAGTGATAAAATCACAGCATGAGAATTTCAAAACAAAATCCAATTTCTCCTGAATCATCGCTGAAGAGTTGTCGACGAAATAACTCAGACTTCCCCTCAATTTTTGGGCAAATGTATCATCAACAATAAGAATAGGAAGATGTACCTCTGTTGTAGCTTGAGGTGCCAATTTAACTCTTATCTTGATCCCAGATTCTTCATTTAAGTTTCTAACTAGTTTCAAGGTCGACGAGTCTGTGACATCCAAGTCCAAGTCTTTGATGACTTTATCACCGCAATTGACCAAAAAAATTGAAACGATGAGTTTTCCATTTTCATGTGGCAATTGCTTCAATTCGAACATCATCTTCATTTTGTCATTTTTCGCAAGCTCCTGGTGTCCACTGGGCATTTGATAGAGATTATTGAGTGTTTCCTCATTACTTTCATGAAAATTAACGCTAAGTCCCGGTACAATCTCTTTAGACGGGGTAGAAATACCCGCAGTCTCTTCATACCCCGACGTATTCTGCTTGCTCTCGCTCTTTTTCTTCTTCCTCTTACCTTCCTCCTCCTTCCTCTTCTTCTTCTTCGCCTTTCCACCTTTCTTCTTAGACTCCTTCTTCTTCTCCCCCTCATCACCATCATCAACATCATTATCCTTATTCTCTACATTTAGAGAGTCACTTGTAATCTCATTTTCCTTATTATGAATAGCTATGTCATTGCCAAGCCAGAGATCAATGTTATTTTGATTCTCTGAATTGCTGCGCTCTCTCTTCTCTTCCTTCGTCTTTTTCTTAATTTTCTTTGAACTCTTACCCTTTCTCTCGGACTTCTCAGGATTATTCTTGGAGTCTCTGGGGCCTGGCCGATGCTCAAGTACTGGCAATCTCTCGTCCTCTCGCAAAGGAATATCGAGATCGATATTCAAAGCCCTGTGAGGATCATTAACATCAGAAATATTATTATCATCGTTATCACTCAGCTCTGCTCCTGGTGGCAGCTCTCCAATTCCAGTATTAACAAAATGTGCTGGATAATCGTTGTCTTGCTCCTCGTCCGAGCTCTCCTTCAAATCCCTCTTGCCCTTTTTCGAATGATGTTTCTTCTTGGTCTTATCCTTCTTTTTATCAGATTTCAACCTCTTATCATCAACTGAGAATTTTGAACTGAGCGAATTTATCTTCAAAGAAACTGGGATGTCGAGCTTTGCGATTGGAATGTGATCGTAATCATCACTTTTATCATTATTGTAATGATAATTCTTGGGACTTGAGTGGCCCTTCAAATAATGTGGATTGTTCTCCTGCTCTATTTTCCTGAGATCTCGCCTCCTCTGGAGCTCTTCAGACGTCAATTCAACAGTCTTTTTCTCCCCATACTCACTATTCTTCTCACTTTTAACAAATATATCATTCATATCCAAGTCTTCGTCGTCAGAGCTCTCAGAGGGTGGATCATTGATCCAGGAATCGAGATCGAGTCCCTCAGGAATTGGTACTTTTCGCTGTGCCTTTGGAGCAACTGGATTCAGCTCACCCTGAAAAGTATCTGCAAGCTCCTTGATCAATGATGGATTCTCTTTAAGATAATCGAACAAAACTAGAACAGCTGTTGCCCTCTCCTGCACCTCGAGATCACCACTGCAAATGAACTCATTCATTCCGTCCTTCAGGGCGAATATCTCTTCCATCGTCTCTCGATCATTTTCCTCCTGAGCTTTATTTAATGTCATGGCTGCTAATTTCAATATATTGTGAACGTAAACCGCTTGTATGTGACCAGGAAGGCTCGATGCTTGTGATTTAAGCATGGATTTTAATGTTGCTATGGGATCATCGAGCTCTGATGAAAATTCACCACAAATCCAGGCTGCTGCGTACAGTACTTCGCACATTGTTGCTCGCGGTGTTCCAGTGAGTAAATGTGCATTGTCAAGTAGTAAGGCACATTGTTGAACTGCGCATTTTCTTATTGCTTGGACCCTGATTGCAACATCAAGCAATTGAGTGGCAACTAATTGTCCATGCTTGGTACCTTCCATTTTAGTCAAGTCAACGAGAACGGAAATGTACCACTCGAAGTATGTAATGAATTGATAATTATTCTGCGAACAGATTTGAATGATTTTCGAGAGAAGTTCATCTCTGTAAGTTGTTCCTTCAGCCTTGTCCATGTGGATCATCAGTTTTCGGACAATTTCCATCAGATTTTTCTTGGATACCATGCCGTACAGAAGGTCAAGGGCACGCAATCGAATGCTCTCGTCTTTGTCGTCTAGGCACTGCATTATAAGATCTTTGTGGGCTTGCACACTCTTTGGATGTGTCTTCAGGATTTTTGACATTGCCAGAAGCCCCAGATATTTCAAATTTTGATCGGAATCTTCGATGAGAATCCGCAGCTTTTGAACGCAAAGCTGAATTGAGTCTGAGTGATTGGGCATTCCCGAGGAAATGGAAATTAACACTGCGATTACTGTGTTTATGCACTCGTAAAGAAGTGACATCGCCGATGTACTGTAAGGGAAATTTTTTTTTCAGAGGAAGGTCGATTATTTAATTTCTACTGCAACTAGCTGATGGAATTTCGACTTGAAGCAGAAAAAAATCCGTTACCTGTGTATTAAATTGGTCAGAGGTTCTATAAGTTTTTTTCCAAGCCTAGGTTCTAGCGGAGTCAACGCGCCAAACTGCAAATTGCACGTGAAAAATAAACTGTCACTACTACAAATTAATATAGAGGATTATCTAACTGAATTCATGAAATCTCTAATCTCATCGATTTTACTGAAGCACAACAATATATTTGTAATAATTTCTAGCAATAATTTTCGTTTTTGTTCAAATTTAATTTTAAACCTGCATATGAGATCAATGAGAGGCTGAGTCAATTGCCTACCCAGCTTTGGCTCAATCAGTGTAACCGTTGCAAACTGAGTGGAAAAAATTGAATTGAATGATAAGAAATGAATTTTCTCATGTGAAATACCGTACCATTGTCTACGAAAAAGGGAACGTTAAATAAATTCTGAAGAAAATCAAAGACTCACCAATTTGATAATTTTAATAAGCATCCAATTATTCGTGGAAGTTGTCATGAGCTTGAAGAATATCGGTGCGAGACTCAAATAATTTTTAGGATTTTTTCTAGCTAGTTCGCAGACAACATTGACAGCAGCAGATTGAACTCCACTGTCAGGATCTTCGAGTTTCTCCTTGAGCCTGGGGAAAGCAGGTCTGAGGGCCTCAGGGAACCTTAAGAACACTTTGTACATCATCAACACAGCCTTCTTCCTGAGGTATGGCTTCGTGCTGGTCAGAAGGGTCATGATGTCATTGACGAGATCCTTAGCTAGGTCTGGACTTATGAAGCAGGACAATCCACTCAAGGCCAATCCAGCATCATACTGATTTTGACTATTGAGATCTTTCCGGATCATATTTGTGGTTAACATCAAGAGTTCAGTGTCCATGTGGAAACTCTGGCTGCCAGCTAGATAGCCAATTCTCTTGTACGTAAATTTGCCAGACGACATGACTTCGATGATATTGAAACCAGCCCAGCTGATATCATACCCCAACATCTGGAGATACATCAGTTTGGCAACAGCATTTGCCTTGACAGCGATATTGTCCTGTCGCAGCTCCTGTTTTATTTCCTCAATGCACTGTGCAATATATTTCGCCTACAAGCGAATAAGAAAATTACGGGATAAAACATAAGAGTCTTTATCTAGGTTAACCCACTTGAAAGCCAACAATTCCCCAATAATTACCTCATTATTCTTATTGTTCCTGATTCCACGCACCAAATCCGTCAAATTCTTATCGAACATGCGTTCGAAATTGCCTTTAACTTTTCGCAGAGCCATTTCACCGAGGAAGATGTTAATCAATTTTACGGTCTGAAGGGGAAAAAAAAACTTGAGGAATTTAACAGTTTATCCTACGTCCTATACTGTTACTCCGTCAGTCTCACTTGTCAAACCTCCACTCAACTCTCGTTTCACACTTCCTATCGCATCCTAGTTCCATAGAATTTATCAACCAGACATTTATCCAATTAGCTGGAGATTATCCTCCATATACATATGTAATTCGATGAGAAGAAATAATAATGATAATAATAAAAATAAAAATCACTTGACGCCCACTGGGGTTTCGAGCGATTCAACACTCCCTTCCAGAGAAGTATTAGTTCGGGTTTATTGCTTTGTGGGGGATGAAAAATAGTGAATACTAGTCGATATCAGCTGTTTTTTTTTTCCAAATTGATTGGCAAAGGAAGGGATGGGTTAGAAAAAATGAGGGGTGTGAAAAAAATGAGCCAATTGAAACTGTTGCCGGTGACCAACTTGTCAAGACACGATACGATGTGAGACACGAATATCCAAGCCATATGGAATAGATGGCGCTTGATTGTTGAAAAAAAAAATATAAAAATACAAATGAAGATGACAAAACAAAGCTTTCAATCATTTTTGTGGAGAAATTCATCGCGAAGAGAATAAATCCCAAGGTTATTTCTTGTCATAATTTTTATTTGTTAGTTATCATGATTAGTATCACCCTAGTGCTCCTTCACAGAATAGCAGATAAATATCGGTGTGGAATATATTGTAAGTTTGAAAATGTCGTAGGTTGCTACTTGAGTTTTTATTTAATCTTTATACAATGGCTCATTTATTCTAATGGCTGAGACACGACTAAGAGGATTTTATGGGACTCAAAGTTGAGTCTCAGGCATAGTAATTCAATATCAAAATCATCAACTAGTTTATTTACAATTAACTGTGCCAAGCGATTCTACTTAACTGAATTCCACTGAAAGTTCGTTCGTCTTTTAAAAAATTATTCTGAATAAAAAATTGGAAATCAATGTGTAAAATTTGGTAATTCACATTTGTCACAATGTGAAAAATGACAATTCATTAAAAAGAATGCCAAGGTGTCTGGCACGAAACATTGGGCTTGACATAAATTAGCAACAACATGAATGACGACTAGACGTTTCGTGTTTTTTTTTTACAAAAGAAGAGATCTCGCACGTTTATTAAACACTCAACCTTCCAGATAAGGTATATCTGAGGAATTTCTTTTCAAAGATTTTAAGTACTCTTAAAAATACCATTCCCACTGGCCTCATGTTTCCCAATGCCTGTACCCCTCCGGTAAACAGGAAATATTATCATCGAATTAAACAATTAAGTTGTTATGATTCGTGAACTGGCAGAGGATGTCCCTCGGAATTAAAAACCCATCTATCAAGATTTATGAGCTGTCTGGTGTCATCAAATAAGAGATAAAAGTATTTCAGTGTCTCACCGAACCAAAAACTCTCAGTCATATCCCTGGGTCGTGTATTCTGGGGATTTCTGACATTTCCAATGCTTGTATAGCCATTCTCAACTTTTGTGTAATTCTCAAAGCCTTGAAATATCAGCCAACCCCAGTCTTGATAAGTCTTATTCCCAGTGAAGTACCACATGTAGAAGAGACTCTCGATGAATTCGGGACGTAATAAATTATGAGCATCTGTTGTCTTGATGTACATATCCATCTGACTCTCTCTCTCCTCAATATCACTATCTTGAACATTGAAATAAGTGATTTCTGGGGCAAGAAATGTGGGCTGTATGAGGTGTGTTTGATAGCAAGTCCTGGTTAATTCTTTGGCAAAATCCATATGCTCAGCTGGAAGACCATTATGAACCCCCAAAGCTAGTGTCCCCGGTAAATAACAAGTTAAATGATCCATCTTAGGTTTCATATCCCTGGAGGCCCCAATTAATTCAGCAATAAATAAATATTTATCCTTCGCCGTTCGTCTCACCAAGTGCTTCTGGGTCCCCTGAATGCCAGCAACATAATCATCCCTCAAATAATCAATTGTCCTGCCAGTTTGTACCCACTGTTTTAATAAGTACTCGTAGTAACTGTCTCCACGAGCCCCAAGTGTAATAGTCGCATATTCCCTGAATAATCCAGTATTCGCATTGATAAATATTGGCACTAACCCATCGTATTTATCCAAATTATGAACGTGTTCTGAGACTTTGGAAACAGCAGCCTCGAATCTCGGTTGACCTGTAATTCTACTGAGCTCTCGAAATTCCAGTTGAATTGACGTTACCTCACTGGTACTACTGTCAGGTCCCCATTTAGGATGATGAGCACTCTTTGTTCCCAAGTTAACGTCTGAATAAGGTACTCCAGATCTTGTTGAAAATGCTGGCATCATTCTATCACCCAGGTCAATGGCTTTATCGAGGAATATTTTATCGCCAGAGAGATGATATGCAGATAGCAGACCCCCCAGGACTCTTATAGTAACTTCAAAGAGGTTTACGTCTCGGTTATTGTGGAAAACCAGATTCTCCTCTATCCAAGAACGGGCCCGTTTGAATTCTGAAGAAATATAACAAATAAATGGAGGAATTAATGAATTAATTAATGAGTTGCACGAAATTCTCACCTTCTCCAAGTCCCATAATGTACATGGTGTCCAGAGCGTCGACGATGGTGAGTCCCAAGCCAAACCATTCGTGATATCCTCTCGAGATAGGTTTAACATTATCATGTCCCCAAGCATATTTTACATATCCATCCCACGAATGTTTGAAAGCCCTGACAATGGCCTTCTGCCTGTCATTCTGAGGCCCATGGAAAACCACAGCATTGGGTTTGGGTTGTGGAGGTTCGTTGATCTGATCATCGTCAACCTGATTGATCTCAGGTTGAAATTCAGGCTCTTCGATGACCTCGCCACCGCCACCTGGACCTACACCCTGATTTTCACTGTCCACCACCACCACCACTTCCTCTTGAGCTTTATCCACCTTTGAAGTCACCTCAATCACTTTACCATTGACGTAATCATTGGTGTCTTCGAGAATAATATTTTTTGTGTCACCAGGAAGGAGATAAAATAAAATGAGAAGAATCGTGATGACTAGGAACCAAAAAACATTACGTTGAAATCTCGACATCTGATTCCATTTTCTCCACAGGCTTCTCGATGGTTTCAGGTAAGTTCCAGGATCATTTATATTCAAACTTATGTAGTCAGTCTTACCCGTGTCTCGTGGCAACATTTTCAGGTAATTTCCCTTGTCTCCCTTATTTTTTTATTGTCGTTGGGAGTGAGGTTAAATATCCACTCCGGTCTACTCCAAAAATCCACATGAATTTTGAACACAGACTTGTAAATATCTTAGAACTCATTTAGCGATTGTATAGATTAATTTCTTGTCGTGCAGAATTCGCGATTAAATGAAATTTTGGGGGATTGCTGGATTATACATGGCTTTCCGGAATATCGAGAGGAATTCAGTGAGGGATGATGAATGTGTCAACCATGACAACTTCCTGTATACACTTTTGGTTCTAAAAAGTAACTAGCAGCACTGAGAGCTTCTCACCTCACCATTTGTTGTCGACTAAACAGCTGACGTGCAATTGCATAGTTCATGGGTCTGCCTGCAGGGAAAGACAGTTATTTAAATCCAAATAAACATCAACAAATTGTGCTCCAATAAATATACATTGACCAGAAATAAAAAATCGCATTATTCAGCACCAATACACTGCACAGCTCCTTCAATAAAATAAAAAAAACTAATATAGCCATAATTATTACATCTGGTATTGAAAAAGCTTTAGGTTAAGTGAGTAATTGTTTATGTTCACAATAAATAATGGCTCTCGCTAATATCTCTGGAATTCCTGATAAACACTGGCAGCCCCCCTTCGTTAATTTGGAAACAACGTGAGTTTATAATTAATGACAATGTCAATTTTAATTAACGAGTACTGATTAAAATTATTTTTAGGATGGGAGAAATTGTGATTGAGTTGTATTGGAAACATGCACCACTGACTTGTAGAAATTTTGCTGAATTGACAAGACGGGGGTATTATAACGGGACCAAGTTTCACAGGATTATCAGGGACTTCATGGTACAAGGTGGAGATCCCACTGGAACTGGAAAGGGTGGAGTTTCCATTTATGGGGAGTGTTTCAATGATGAAATCCATGATGATCTGAAGCACACAGGTATGACAATGCAAAGTCATAAAGAATAATAAAAAATAATAGTAATGGTTGTTCTATTATCATCACATGCCCCTCTTTGAATAATCTCAGGCGCAGGAATTTTGTCAATGGCCAATTCAGGCCCAGACAGTAATGGATCGCAATTTTTCATTACTTTGGCTCCAACCCAATGGCTCGATGGAAAGCACACGATTTTCGGTGCGTGCGAATACTCTCGACATTTAATTTTATTTCTAAAACATTTCAATTAAAAAATTCATTCTTTTTTCACAGGGAGAATACACATTGGAATGAACGTAGTGAAACGAATTGGCCTAGTCGAAACCGATAAGAACGATCGTCCAATCGATGAAGTAAAAATTGTTAAAGGATCAATAAAAAATTCCTAATTAAAAAAACAATAAATTTTATAATTTCCAGAATAATAAATACTCGTAATACTGCTTTATCACATTTTTCCGTCTTATTTAATTGCAAAAAAAAAAATACATTTGATTGCAATAATATTATTTTAATTCACGATACCAGCACATCTTCCGTTAAAATTGTCAACTATCCTCCACTTGCTGGCATCAGCAAAAAGGGGCCCACAAGGGGTCCTACATATAGAAAAGGGACAGGTTTTCTTACCTGCTCTTCAACCTGCGTCTCAAGACATTTCCTCTCCTTCTTTCCCTCTCTCTATCTTTTTTCTGCTCGTATTCTCGCATATCCACAGTCCCAACCGACCGTTACAAGACGCTGTGCATAATCGTAAGCACAATATTATCCTCATAACTCTTCATGTTACAACAGTGGCTAGACATCATTTACATCCGTGACGTTAAACGTGCGATATTTTTAAGACTGTGTAAAAAATGTCGACGACATTCAGAGTGGAAGCATTTATTATCCCTTCATTAAACCGCGAAATCCCCAGTAAAAATCTCATAGACGATGTGAAAGTGGCAAAATTGTTGAGAGACAATGATTTCTCGAGCAAGCTGGAGTGCATCCAGGAAGATTCTGAGCATTCCGACCATTCAATCTTAGAAAAATCATCGGAAAACTTCACAGAACATGAAGAAGTGGTTGAAGGACATCAGCAATCAGCAGATTATCTCAATGAACCAATATACGACGTGCCATTCTCGTGTCGAGAAAAATTGAAAAATAAGGACAAAAATATTGAGACAAATGTTGGAGTGAAATGTAGTGATATCGAAGAGAATATAAATACCAGTAACTCCACGGATTTTGTAAAACTGGAGATTAATTATTCAGAATCCGATGAAGACGCGAATTCTAAGGAAATTCCTGCAGAGCCGGTGTACGATATCCCATATTTATGTGGAAGGAATCAACAAAAGCCTTCAGGATTCATAAAAAAATTAGAAACCGCTGAGTTCAGTCCTCTGTTCAGAAATGAGCAATTCAGGGAGTCCAAGATGCCTCTGCAAAGACTTTCCATACGATCCAGCAGTTTAATGTCCATTGACGAACGGGGAGAGACTCCAGAAGACTGTGTAAATCAATTCTGTCAGCATGGATTTAAAAACGGTTGTACAGCAATTACTCAGAGGCCAGAGCAAGTCACTGAAAAAATTTTCGAGTTCAATTGGATGAGGAGACTGGAAAATCTTCGAGCTAGGGAGGCAGTCATCAAAGAGAAGGAAGCCATGCTCTTCGATCGAGAGAGATTGCTATTCAAGAAAGAAAAAGAGTTGAGAATACTCGAGAGATTGCTCAAGGACAAACTTAAACACATCGAGTTGTCCTCAAAACGGTTTAAACATCCGGGTATTGAATCCGAAGCTGTCGATGAATTTAATGAACGATCTGAAGACTCTCAGGGATTCAAGCAAAATTTGGAGAGATCATTGGGCTCTCTGGAGACTCTAGGATCCACTAGCTCTGTGCAAACAATTCTCTCGAAGAGCTCGAACGTTTCGCAAAATACAATAATATCTAGAGGAAAAAATTCTAGAGATTCGAGTAATAAAATGGGAGACAGGAATATTGGGAATTCTCTCACTGAAAAAATTGGACGTGAGGGAATGGGATGCGCCTCTGTCACATCAGAAAGCAGTACCGATGGGAAAATAATTAATAATCCACCCAATTCGAGGAGTTCGTTAATGACGAGTAATTTTGCTGTTCCACTTCAGTCTGACGGACTAATTCATTCGAGTAAAGGAAGTATTGGATACAGTGGGTATACGAGTATGACAACCAAAAGGAAACCAAAAATGAGCTACGATGATCTCGATTCAACTCTCTCCGCGGATATTGGAGATTCTTCGTTTATTGTTACATCGAGGATATTCAATCCAGCGGTTATCAAGAAGCCCCGAGCATTCACCAGAACTCTCAGTGAAAGAAAACCTCATATTGAAGGTGAAAAAGTATTAAAGAGGCTCAGTGAAAATATTTTTGTATCGAAAAACAGCGACACGAGGTTTCAGAATTATGGGATGATCGATCTTGGACGAATAGACGAGAGAATTGAGGATAATGATAAGAGGTGTTCTTATTTGAATCTGGAAAAGGGACACCATAAGGGAAAGGAGAAAGTGAAGAAAGATAGTAAAGAGAGACCTGTCAGCTGGAGTGAGGAGCAAAATGAGTGGCTGCAGAGGAAACGAATGGCGTACAACTGCACCATGAGAAGAATTCCTAACGAACGATTTGACAAAGAGAATTTACAGAAGAAATGTGAAATGAAAAAGAAAGTTTCAATGGTGAAAAAATTCAGTATTTTCCGATAATTGAAGTATCTCTTTAAAAAATTGAGTATTAAAGAAGAATTCGCACAGAAGAGTAGTATTTTAAGTTACGAATATGAAATGTCTCCTTAATTTTTCATGACACCCACAACAATTTATTAATATTTACTCAGATTTAAATAAAACATGTAAATGGGCTGTAATATATTAGGCTAATGCTAGAATCACGGGTAACAAAATGTAGAGAAAACATTTTTTATTCTTTTAATCTACTTTTTGGAATTGTCATTGATTTTTTCCAATTGTATACTGAAATACGACAGGAATAAATTTATCACTGTATCGTAACAATTTCCATTATGAGTTTTAAGGTGAATTACTTTATGGCCAGGATGGTTGCTCGCCTGGTTTAAGTTCCCTTCCATAAAGTGCTGATTTGTCCCGGAACCTTATCATTCTGTTATCCTCCTGTCTGTCTAGCCAGGCTCCTGCCTGCCAGAATATAAATGGTGCAACAGCACTCAATGCTACCTGTTTAAATAAGAATGTTTTTGTGAATGGTGGCTTCATCCTTGCAATTCTTCTCGAGTGGCTTCCTGGGCAGCAATACTCTTCTTCCAGAGGTAGGTGTGACGCCAGTCAGCATAAATCAGAGATCCACTGAGAAGAGGAGCGATTATTGATGGCAGGAGAGGCTTTATCCTGGACCAGAGAGATACTTCCATCAAACTGTAACCTCAAATACAACATATTAATTAGTTATTTAACTTTTACAGGTTATGGACTTGCAAAATATTATGTAATCGATTGGGATTGATTGGGCATGTACTGTGCAGAATTTTGCTGTTATTTTCTGATCGATTTAGCAATTTTTAGAGATATTTTAATTACCAGAAGATGTGATTAACCGTTTTGTTTTTAAAATACTAGAGTAATGACTTTTTGGTGCTCTGGACCAGTACAGAACTGTTCAAAGAGAATAAATAAACTAAAGGATATGGAGATTGAGTTCTTGGGATCTAGTGACACTAAATTAAAATTAGTATTACCTGAATTTGAAGATGGCGCCAAGGGTGACGGCCTGTAACAGAATGGCTGAAGAAAATGAAGGAAAAAAAATAGGGGATGCTCATTTTTAGAGAGATGTTTTCCAAATTTTCAAAAAATATTTTTGGAAAAAAATGCTATTTCCATCTTTAGAGGCTCATTTTGGGGGTTGGAGTGACTCCAGCGGCATCGTAGTGCTGCACCCCAAGAGAGGGAGGGCGCCACACGCAATGTTGGGGGTGTCCATCAAGTCGACAGGGTGAATTTTATTTGTTTAACTGAAATTTAACCGACTATAGAACGAGTGGAAGGGGGAAGCCACATCTGTAGAATTTCAAATGAAAAAAATTATTCAATAGATTAAACATATACCCCTAATGAAATTATTTATTCAGAATGAGCGCGTTGTCTCAATGGTAACGTGCTTGCCTACCACGCCGACGGCC